GTGTTTGTGTAGTTGAATGTTACATCAGTGTTGTTTTAGTGAAGTTACTACAGGTTGTGTAGTGAATGTTACTACATTGTTGTGTAGTGAATGTTACTACCGTGTTGTAAGTAAAATGTTACTACAGTGTTGTGTAGCGAATGTTACTACAGTGTTGTGAAGTAAAATGTTATTTACAGTGTTGTGAAGTGAATGTTACTACAGTGTTGTGAATTGAATGTACACAGTGTTGTGTAGTGAATGTTACATCAGTGTTGTGTAGTGAATGTTACTACAGTGTTGTGTAGTGAATGTTACTACAGTGTTGTGTAGTGAATGTTACTACAGTGTTGTGAAGTGAATGTTACTACAGTGTTGTGTAGCGAATGTTACTACAGTGTTGTGAAGTGATGTTACTCCAGTGTTGTGAAGTGAATGTTACTACAGTTTTTGTGAAGTGAATGTTACTACAGTGTGTGTAGTGAATTTTTACACAGTGTTGTTAGTGAATGTTACTACAGTGTTGTGTAGTGAATGTTACTACAGTGTTGTGTAGTGAATGTTACATCAGTGTTGTGTAGTGAATGTTACTACAGTGTTGTGTAGTGAATGTTACTACAGTGTTGTGTAGTGAATTAACATCAGTGTTTGTGTAGTGAATGTTACTACAGTGTTGTGTAGTGAAGTTAAAATCAGTTTTTGTGTAGTGAATGTTAACTACAGGGGTTGTGTAGTGAATGTTACTACAGTGTTGTGTTAAGTGAAGTTATTTACAGTTGTTTGAAGTGAATGTTACTACAGTGTTTGTGTAGTGGCTGTACTACAGTGTTGTGTATGAAATGTTACTACAGTGTTGTGAAGTGAATGTTACTACAGTGTTGTGAAGTGAATGTTACTACAGTGTTGTGAAGTGAATGTTACTACAGTGTTGTGTAGTGAATGTTACTACAGTTTGTGAATGAATGTTACTCAGTTTTTTGGTAGTGGCTTTTAACTAACAGTGTTGTGTAGTGAATGTACTACGTGTGTTGAAGTGAATGTTACTACAGTGTTTTTTGTATGAAATGTTTATACAGTGTTGTGAAGTGAAATGTTATACACAGTGTGTGAAGTGAATGTTACTACAGTGTGTGTAGTGAAAGTTACTACAGTGTTGTGTAGTGAATGTTACTACAGTGTTGTGTAGTGAATGTTACTACAGTGTTGTGTTTACCTACACTTGGAAAATCTTGGAAGGAATGGTCCCAAATCTGCACACAGAAATCACTCCCTACGAAAGTAAAAGACTGGGCAGGCGATGCAAAATGCCGCCAATAAAAAGTAGGGGCGCCATTGGTACACTAAGAGAAAACACCATAAGTGTCCGGGGCCCAAAACTGTTCAACAGCCTCCCATCAAGCATTAGGGGAATTGCCAAAAAACCCCCTGGCGCCTTCAAGAGAGAGCGGGACAGATACCTAAAGCAGTCCGGATCACCGGGCTGTGGCTCGTACGTCGGAAATGCGTGGGGCCATCAGTAACAGCCTAGTTGATCAGGCCCTGATCCATCGGGAGGCCTGTCAGGACCGGGCCGCGGGGCTTGTTTCCCCGGGAAAATAACCTCCAGGTAACCTGGAGTTTACCTGGAGAGAGGTTTCCGGGGGTCAACGCCCCCGCGGCCCGGTCTGTGACCAGGCCTCCTGGTGGATCAGAGCCTGATCAACCAGGCTGTTGCTGCTGGCTGCACGCAAACCGCCCGGCTGATCAGGAACTGACTTTAGGTGCTTGTCCAGTGCCAGCTTGAAGACTGCCGGGGTCTGTGTAGTGAATGTTACTACAGTGTTGTGTAGTGAATGTTACTACAGTGTTGTGTAGTGAATGTTACATCAGTGTTGTGAAGTGAATGTTACTACAGTTTTTGTTTGTGAATGTTACTACAGTGTTGTTTTATGAATGTTACTACAGTGTTGTGAGTGAATGTTACTACAGTGTTGTGTAGTGAATGTTACTACAGTGTTGTGAAGTGAATGTTACTACAATGTTGTGTAGTGAATGTTACTACAGTGTTGTGTAGTGAATGTTACTACAGTGTTGTGTAGTGAATGTTACTACAGTGTTGTGTAGTGAATGTTACCAGTGTTGTGTAGTGAATGTTACTACAGTTTGTGTAGTGGCTGTCTTAAAAGTGTTGTGAAGTGAATGTTACTACATGTTGTGAAGTGAATGTTACTAACAGTTGTGTAGTGAATGTTACTACAGTGTTGTGTAGTGAATGTTACTACAGTGTTGTGTAGTGAATGTTACTACAGTGTTGGAAGTGAAGTTACTACAGTGTTTGTGTAGTGAATGTTTCTACAGTGTTGTGTAGTGAATGTTACTACAGGTTGTGTAGTGAATGTTCTACAGTGTTGTGTAGTGAATGTTACTACAGTTTTTGTGTAGTGAATGTTACTACAATGTTGTGTATGAATGTTACTACATGTTGTTTTAGTGAATGTTTTCTACAGTGTTGTGTAGTGAATGTTACTACAGTGTTGTGAAGTGAATGTTACTACAGTGTTGTGTAGTGGCTGTTACTACAGTGTTGTGAAGTGAATGTTACTACAGTGTTGTGAAGTGAATGTTACACAGTTTGTTAAGTGAATTTACTACAGGTTTGTGAAGTGATGTTACTACATGTGTTGTGTAGTGGCTGTACTACATGTGTTGTGAAGTGATGTTACTACAGGTTGTGAAGTGAAGTTACTACAGTGTTTTTGTAGTGAATGTTACTACAGTGTTGTGAAGTGAATGTTACTACAGTGTTGTGAAGTGAATGTTATACGTGTTGTGTTTGTGAATGTTACTACAGTGTTGTGTAGTGAAGTTACTACAGTGTTGTGAAGTGAATGTTACTAAAAGTGTTGTGAAGTGAATGTTTTCAACAGTGTTGTGAAGTGAATGTTACACAGTGTTTTGAAGTGAAAAGTTACTACAGTGTTGTGTAGTGAATGTTACTACAGTGTTGTGAAGTGAATGTTACTACAGGTTGTGAAGTGAATGTTACACAGTGTTGTGTAGTGAATGTTTCTACAGTGTTTGAAGTGAAGTTACTACATGTTGTGTAGTGAATGTTACTACCCGTGTTGTGTAAATGAAAAGTTACTACAGTGTTGTGTAAGTGAATGTTACTACAGTGTTGTGTAGTGAATTTTAAATACAGTGTTGTGTAGTGAATGTAAATACAGTGTTGGTAGTGAAAAGTTCCCACAGTGTTGTGAAGTGAATGTTACTACAGTGTTGTGTAGTGGCTGTTACTACAGTGTTGTGAAGTGAATGTTACTACAGTGTTGTGAAGTGAATGTTACTACAGTGTTGTGTAGTTAATGTTAAATACAGTGTTGTGAAGTGAATGTTACTACAGTGTTGTGAAGTGAATGTTACTACAGTGTTGTGTAGTGAATGTTACTACAGTGTTGTGTAGTGAATGTTACTACAGTGTTGTGAAGTGAATGTTACTACGAGTTGTGAAGTGAATGTTACTACAGGTTGTTTTAGTGGCTGTTACTACAGTGTTGTGGTTTGTGAATGTTACTACAGGTTTGTGTAGTGAAGTTACTACAGTGTTGTGTAGCGAATGTTACTACAGTTTTTAGTGAATGTTACACAGTGTGTGTAGTTTAATGTTACTACAGTGTTGGTAGTGAATGTTACTACAGGTTGTGTAGTGAATGTTACTACAGTGGTGTAGTGAAGTTACTACAGTGTTGTGTAGTGAATTTTTACTACAGTGTTGAAGTGAAATGTTACTACAGTGTTGTGTGGTGAATGTTACTACAGTGTTGTGTAGTGAATGTTACTACAGTGTTGTGTAGTGAATGTTACTACAGTGTTGTGAAGTGAATGTAACTACAGTGTTTGTGGTGAATGTTACTACAGTGTTGGGTAGGGGAATGTACTACAGTGTTTTGTAGTGAAAGTTTTCATCAGTGTTGTGTAGTGAATGTTACATCAGTGTTGTGTTGTGAATGTTACTACAGTGTTGTGTAGTGAATTTTACTAGTGTTATGTAGAGTGTGTGTGTGTGTGTGTGTGGTGTGTGTGTGTGTGTGTGTGTGTGTGTGTGTGTGGTGTGTGTGTGTGTGTGTGTGTGTTGGTGTGTGGTGTGTGTGTGGTGTGTGTGTGTGTGTGTGTGTTTTGTGTTTGTGTGTGTGTGTGTGTGTGTGGTGGTGTGTGTGTGTGGTGTGTGTGTGTGTTTTGTGTTTTGTGTGGTGTGTGTGTGTGTGTGTGTTGTGTGGTGTGTGTGTGTGTGTGTGTGGGTGTGTGTGTGTGGTGTGTGTGTGTGGTGTGGTGTTGTGTGGTTTGTGTGTGGTGTGTGTGTTGGTGTGTGTGTGTGTGTGTGTGTGTGTGTGTGTGTGTGTGTGTGTGATAATTTGCATAAGAACAAAATTCGAAGCTTGTTGTTGGTGTCTCCCTGGTAAGTCACAACCACAATATGCTTTAAATGATACATTTATATGATTTTTTCCTATAGTTCAGCTATCATAACTTTGGGGTCCAGTCCCTGGACCTATTATGTACCTTTGTCATCCTTTGACTACCGCCCACAGGATGGGTATGGGGTGCATAATAAAGATATTAAACTAACGAGTTTAATGCATTTTTGTGAATACAATGAGGAAATTTTTTTAAAGTTCTGCTATCACCTGAATACATATTAGAATGTTTGGTGATATCGTTATCGTTTTGGGTTATCCTAGGTTCTCTACACATATGCTGCTATGTATGATAATTCTATGTAACTGTATTTGTGTATACCTGAATAAACTTACTTACTTACTAATCGCCTAATTGTAAAACTAAGCGTTAAACCCAGAAGGGTGAAAAATAATAACTATTAATAATCGCTATATTTGCGTAAGCTTCATTACCTCTTGCTCTAATTTATAAAATGTCATATTGAGCATGGTAGACAGGCAATGTGGTGCATTTAATTTTAATTTAATTCACATTCAAATGTGAAGCGTGTGAAGGCGCGCCACAAACATCAGCTGATCCAGTGTGTCGTCCACTGACCAGGTGTGTGTGTCACTTGCGTCTTTCATGGAGTTTTTATCACATTTCATGGAGTTTTTACACATTTTATTGTACATAACTCTAGGTAATTTAGCTATTTGTTATTTCGGTTATTTGCGTTTGTTATTTAATTTGTTTGTATTAACCATAATAAGATACAGACATACTGTATAACTATGATTTAAATAACATTTTACAAGGCTAACGAGAGTTAATATAGCTATATTTACCTAACACCACCATCAAACAGAATAGTTTCTCTGTCATATTCCATCACAGGATTTTTGGTACATGTAATGAAATCTGTCAGCTTGAACTAGAAGACTTAGCTACTATGGATTTAGTAGCTACTGCATTTTGGTTTCCTTCCAGAAGGGCTGGAGTCATTTTACATGAGCTTTACTGTCTCAGCATGGCTTGTCACGTACTTTTGTAGTAGTACTGATGAGAATATTATCATAAACAATCACTGGGGGAGTGAACATCAAATATTGAGTTCGAGTGTTTTTACGAGGCCTATGTACACTGCAAAATCCCTCATCCTTACGAGGATAGTGCCTCCCCATAAATATAATAGTGGTCATATTTCAATTACTGGCTCAAATTCCTTCACTTCGCATCCGTAGGACCTGTGTTCGATCCTAGCATAAAACGCAGGTACCTACTTACTGCTAGATGAACAGGGGCAGGACTTCACTGTGCATGATGTCTGTATTTATGCATACCTACTTAAACTTATTAAAGAAATACGTATTCTCAGTGTTTCCACTGGTGCCGGGGCTCAATCTCCAGTCTCTAAGTGGCCTGGTGGCTAAAGCTCTCTATTCACACACGGAGGGTCCGGGTTCGATTCCCGGCGGGTGGAAACATTTCGACGCGTTTCCTTACACCTATTGTCCTGTTCACCCAGCAGCAAATAGGTACCTGGGTGTTAGTCGACTGGTGTGGGTCGCATCCTGGGGGACAAGATTCATGACCCCATTGGAAATAAGTTAGTCCTCGACGACGCACTGACTTTCTTGGATTATCCGGGGTTATAAATCCGAAGAAAATCTTACCTTACTCAGCCATGATACACTGAGTGACTTTGTTGAGAGTAAGACACATGTGCAACATCTGGGTATCTTTATTGTAGACGTTTCGCCATCCAGTGGCTTTATCAATACAAATTCCAGGACATAACTTGAAGACAGTAGAACTATGTACAGAAGATGAGGTAATCAGTCCCTCAACCTAGGAGTAGGTGCGAACAGCACCATAGTCGTGGAGATTCTAGTAAGACACATGTGCAACATCTGGGTATCTTTATTGTAGACGTTTCGCCATCCAGTGGCTTTATCAATACAAATTCCAGGACATAACTTGAAGACAGTAGAACTATGTACAGAAGATGAGGTAATCAGTCCCTCAACCTAGGAGTAGGTGCGAACAGCACCATAGTCGTGAATCTCCACGACTATGGTGCTGTTCGCACCTACTCCTAGGTTGAGGGACTGATTACCTCATCTTCTGTACATAGTTCTACTGTCTTCAAGTTATGTCCTGGAATTTGTATTGATAAAGCCACTGGATGGCGAAACGTCTACAATAAAGATACCCAGATGTTGCACATGTGTCTTACTCTCATCTTGTCGGTATTATATACCATTCGTACACAACTGAGTGACTTTCATGGGCTACTAGCTCTTCGAGTTAATAGTCGGAATAAAACCTTCCCAAAACATAGCTATCGACACAAAATAGTTAACGTAATATACAATAAGTCTGATTATTTTGCGGATTGCAAAACTAATTTCGTACACCACACCGTTTATATTAAACTTTCTAATACAAAGAAGGATAGAGACACTTCAAAATTGATTGATTATCTTTCAGATATAGGAAGTTAGGTAGATAGCTTTATTATACACTCCATACGGATACTGTGAGCGTAGTCCATATCCATGGACATATTTTTGCTAAGCAAGTTACAGTTTACCTGGAGTTTACCTGGAGAGAGTTCCGGGGGTCAACGCCCCCGCGGCCCGGTCTGTGACCAGGCCTCCTGGTGGATCAGAGCCTGATCAACCAGGCTGTTGCTGCTGGCTGCACGCAAACCAACGTACGAGCCACAGCCCGGCTGATCAGGAACTGACTTTAGGTGCTTGTCCAGTGCCAGCTTGAAGACTGCCAGGGGTCTGTTGGTAATCCCCCTTATGTGTGCTGGGAGGCAGTTGAACAGTCTCGGGCCCCTGACACTTATTGTATGGTCTCTTAACGTGCTAGTGACACCCCTGCTTTTCATTGGGCGGATGTTGCATCGTCTGCCAAGTCTTTTGCTTTCGTAGTGAGTGATTTTCGTGTGCAAGTTCGGTACTAGTCCCTCTAGGATTTTCCAGGTGTATATAATCATGTATCTCTCCCTCCTGCGTTCCAGGGAATACAGGTTTAGGAACCTCAAGCGCTCCCAGTAATTGAGGTGTTTTATCTCCGTTATGCGCGCCGTGAAAGTTCTCTGTACATTTTCTAGGTCAGCAATTTCTTTCACCTGCCTTGAAAGGTACTGTTAGTGTGCAGCAATATTCCAGCCTAGATAGAACAAGTGACCTGAAGAGTGTCATCATGGGCTTGGCCTTCCTAGTTATGAAGGTTCTCATTATCCATCCTGTCATTTTTCTAGCAGATGCGATTGATACAATGTTATGGTCCTTGAAGGTGAGATCCTCCGACATGATCACTCCCAGGTCTTTGACGTTGGTGTTTCGCTCTATTTTGTGGCCAGAATTTGTTTTGTACTCTGATGAAGATTTAATTTCCTCATGTTTACCATATCTGAGTAATTGAAATTTCTCATCGTTGAACTTCATATTGTTTTCTGCAGCCCACTGAAAGATTGGTTGATGTCCGCCTGGAGCCTTGCAGTGTCTGCAATGGAAGACACTGTCATGCAGATTCGGGGTCATCTGCAAAGGAAGACACGGTGCTGTGGCTGACATCCTTGTCTATGTCGGATATGAGGATGAGGAACAAGATGGGAGCGAGTACTGTGCCTTGTGGAACAGAGCTTTTCACCGTAGCTGCCTCGGGACTTTACTCTGTTGACGACTACTCTCTGTGTTCTGTTAGTGAGGAAATTATAGATCCATCGACCGACTTTTCCTGTTATTCTTTAGCGCGCATTTTGTGCGCTATTACGCCATGGTCGCACTTGTCGAAGGCTTTTGCAAAGTCTGTATATATTACATTTGCATTCTTTTTGTCTTCTAGTGCATTTAGGACCTTGTCGTAGTGATCCAATAGTTGAGACAGACAGGAGCGACCTGTTTCTAAACCCATGTTGCCCTGGGTTGTGTAACTGATGGGTTCTAGTTGGGTGGTGATCTTGCTTCTTAGGACCCTTCCAAAGATTTTTATGATATGGGATGTTAGTGCTATTGGTCTGTAGTTCTTTGCTGTTGCTTTACTGCCCCCTTTGTGGAGTGGGCTATGTCTGTTGTTTTTAGTAACTGTGGGACGACCCCCGTGTCCATGCTCCCTCTCCATAGGATGGAAAAGGCTCGTGATAGGGGCTTCTTGCAGTTCTTGATGAACACAGAGTTCCATGAGTCTGGCCCTGGGGCAGAGTGCATGGGCATGTCATTTATCGCCTGTTCGAAGTCATTTGGCGTCAGGATAACATCGGATAGGCTTGTGTTAATCAAATTTTGTGGCTCTCTCATAAAAAATTCATTTTGATCTTCGACTCTCAGTCTGGTTAGCGGCTTGCTAAAAACTGAGTCATATTGGGACTTGAGTAGCTCACTCATTTCCTTGTTGTCATCTGTGTATGACCCATCTTGTTTAAGTAGGGGCCCAATACTGGACGTTGTTCTCGATTTTGATTTGGCATAGGAGAAGAAATACTTTGGGTTTCTTTAGATTTCATTTATGGCTTTTAGTTCTTCCCGCGATTCCTGACTCCTAAAGGATTCTTTTAGTTTAAGTTCGATGCTTGCTATTTCTCTGACCAGTGTCTCCCTACGCATTTCAGATATATTGACCTCTTTTAGCCGCTCTGTTATTCTTTTCCGTCGCCTGTAAAGGGAGCGCCTGTCTCTTTCTATTTTACATCTACTCCTCCTTTTTCTTAGAGGAATAAGCCTTGTGCATACATCGAGTGCCACCGAGTTAATCTGTTCTAGGCATAAGTTGGGGTCTGTGTTGCTTAGTATATCTTCCCAGCTTATATCGGTTAGGACTTGGTTTACTTGATCCCACTTTATGTTTTTGTTATTGAAGTTGAATTTGGTGAATGCTCCCTCGTGACTAGTCTCATTATGTCGGTCTGGGGCTCCACGCATACATGTATGAACCTCAATTATGTTGTGATCTGAGTATATTGTTTTTGATATGGTGACATTTCTTATCAGATCATCATTGTTAGTGAAGATGAGGTCTTGTGTATTCTCCAGTCTAGTTTACCTGGAGTTTACCTGGAGAGAGTTCCGGGGGTCAACGCCCCCGCGGCCCGGTCTGAGACCAGGCCTCCTGGTGGATCAGAGCCTGATCAACCAGGCTGTTGCTGCTGGCTGCACGCAAACCAACGTACGAGCCACAGCCCGGCTGATCCGGAACTGACTTTAGGTGCTTGTCCAGTGCCAGCTTGAAGACTGCCAGGGGTCTGTTGGTAATCCCCCTTATGTGTGCTGGAATGCAGTTGAACAGTCTCGGGCCCCTGACACTTATTGTATGGTCTCTTAACGTGCTAGTGACACCCCTGCTTTTCATTGGGGGGATGGTGCATCGTCTGCCAAGTCTTTTGCTTTCGTAGTGAGTGATTTTCGTGTGCAAGTTCGGTACTAGTCCCTCTAGGATTTTCCAGGTGTATATAATCATGTATCTTTCCCTCCTGCGTTCCAGAGAATACAGGTTTAGGAACCTCAAGCGCTCCCAATAATTGAGGTGTTTTATCTCCGTTATGCGCGCCGTGAAAGTTCTCTGTACATTTTCTAGGTCGGCAATTTCACCTGCCTTGAAAGGTGCTGTTAGTGTGCAGCAATATTCCAGCCTAGATAGAACAAGTGACCTGAAGAGTGTCATCATGGGCTTGGCCTCCCTAGTTTTGAAGGTTCTCATTATCCATCCTGTCATTTTTCTAGCAGATGCGATTGATACAATGTTATGGTCCTTGAAGGTGAGATCCTCCGACATGATCACTCCCAGGTCTTTGACGTTGGTGTTTCGCTCTATTTTGTGGCCAGAATTTGTTTTGTACTCTGATGAAGATTTAATTTCCTCATGTTTACCATATCTGAGTAATTGAAATTTCTCATCGTTGAACTTCATATTGTTTTCTGCAGCCCACTGAAAGATTTGGTTGATGTCTGCCTGGAGCTTTGCAGTGTCTGCAATGGAAGACACTGTCATGCAGATTCGGGTGTTTACCTGGAGAGAGTTTCGGGGGTCAACGCCCCCGCGGCCCGGTCTGTGTCCAGGCCTCCTGGTGGATCAGCGCCTGATCAACCAGGCTGTTGCTGCTGGCTGCACGCAAACCAACGTACGAGCCACAGCCCGGCTGATCAGGAACTGACTTTAGGTGCTTGTCCAGTGCCAGCTTGAAGACTGCCAGGGGTCTGTTGGTAATCCCCCTTATGTGTGCTGGGAGGCAGTTGAACAGTCTCGGGCCCCTGACACTTATTGTATGGTCTCTTAACGTGCTAGTGACACCCCTGCTTTTCATTGGGGGGATGGTGCATCGTCTGCCAAGTCTTTTGCTTTCGTAGTGAGTGATTTTCGTGTGCAAGTTCGGTACTAGTCCCTCTAGGATTTTCCAGGTGTATATAATCATGTATCTCTCCCTCCTGCGTTCCAGGGAATACAGGTTTAGAAACCTCAAGCGCTCCCAGTAATTGAGGTGTTTTATCTCCGTTATGCGCGCCGTGAAAGTTCTCTGTACATTTTCTAGGTCGGCAATTTCACCTGCTTGAAAGGTGCTGTTAGAGTGCAGCAATATTCCAGCCTAGATAGAACAAGTGACCTGAAGAGTGTCATCATGGGCTTGGCCTCCCTAGTTTTGAAGGTTCTCATTATCCATCCTGTCATTTTTCTAGCAGATGCGATTGATACAATGTTATGGTCCTTGAAGGTGAGATCCTCCGACATAATCACTCCCAGGTCTTTGACGTTGGTGTTTCGCTCTATTTCGTGGCCAGAATTTGTTTTGTACTCTGATGAAGATTTAATTTCCTCATGTTTACCATAACTGAGTAATTGAAATTTCTCATCGTTGAACTTCATATTGTTTTCTGCAGCCCACTGAAAGATTTGGTTGATGTCCGCCTGGAGCCTTGCAGTGTCTGCAATGGAAGACACTGTCATGCAGATTCGGGTGTCATCTGCAAAGGAAGACACGGTGCTGTGGCTGACATCCTTGTCTATGTCGGATATGAGGATGAGGAACAAGATGGGAGCTAGTACTGTGCCTTGTGGAACAGAGCTTTTCACCGTAGCTGCCTCGGACTTTACTCTGTTGACGACTACTCTCTGTGTTCTGTTAGTGAGGAAATTATAGATCCATCGACCGACTTTTCCTGTTATTCCTTTAGCGCGCATTTTGTGCGCTATTACGCCATGGTCACACTTGTCGAAGGCTTTTGCAAAGTCTGTATATATTACATCTGCATTCTTTTTGTCTTCTAGTGCATTTAGGACCTTGTCGTAGTGATCCAGTAGTTGAGACAGACAGGAGCGACCTGTTCTAAACCCATGTTGCCCTTGGTTGTGTAACTGATGGGTTTCTAGATGGGTGGTGATCTTGCTTCTTAGGACCCTTTCAAAGATTTTTATGATATGGGATGTTAGTGCTATTGGTCTGTAGTTCTTTGCTGTTGCTGGTTTAAATTGAATTTTGTGCAGAGATTTAAAAGCTCGTGTGAGTGTGAGTTTTCATCAGAGCTGCCTCCTGGTGTTATTACTGCAACAATATTATTTGCTATATTCCTCCATTTTAGGTGCCTTAAGTTGAAATCCCCCAGGAGCAAGATGTTGGGTGCAGGAGCTGGAAGATTTTCCAGACAGTGGTCAATTTTTAACAGCTGTTCCTGGAATTGATGGGATGTTGCATCCGGAGGCTTGTAGACTACCACAATGACTAGGTTTTGGTTCTCGACCTTTACTGCTAAAACTTCCACTACATCATTTGAGGCATTAAGCAGTTCTGTGCAAACAAGTGACTCTGCAATGTACAGGCCACCCCCCCCCCCTTTTGCCTGTTCACTCTGTCACATCTGTATAGGTTGTAACCTGGGATCCATATTTCGTTGTCCAAGTGATCCTTTATGTGGGTCTCAGTGAAAGCCGAGAACATTGCCTTTGCCTCTGCAAGCAGTCCACGGATGAAAGGTATTTTGTTTTTTGTTGCTGGCTTTAGACCCTGTATATTTGCAAAGAAGAATGTTATCGGACTGGTGGTATTGTTGGTACAGTAGTAATAAACTATCTGCAAATTTATTGACTTAAGAACATTTATAATGTGTTTACAGTCATGAATTCTGTCAAAGACACACGTGTACTTACATGTGGTTATTTAGTAAGATTTAATTGAATTTAGGCAAGCTAAGGTGGTTATGCGTTATTTAAAATAGGCAGCCATTGTATTTTTCAGAATTGCTGGTAATACGCTAGTGTATAAAATGACATACTGCACATTCATGAGTGAGTTAAGTGTTTACCTGGAGTTTACCTGGAGAGAGTGTCCCTGAATTTATTGATTTTCTCGGATTCCTGCACGGAATAAATGACACGTAAGGGTGATAGTGGTTCATCTGGCAAAGTTTGCATTTCGTGAGGTCTACATCAGCTGGTAGCACAAACTCCCATATTCCTGTAGCTTAGCCGAAGCCAAGCAGTAGTGATATCGAAGTCTGCTGATTTTGTTTTTGTTGGCTCCTCATGCATGATATGACAATGATAATAGATGGTTGCATGATATCACTGTTTCGAGAAAGTTCCACTTGATGTTAATTTCGTATTATTGTGCTCAAACTACTAGCTAACGGCCCAGAATTACGATCTACTGCAGAAAGCGGTGCAGATACACAAGGGGAAACTAAACATTTTCAGAAAGAGTAGGTTATTATAAATTTAGTATGTATGGAATATAAAACACATTTACAGAGGTACATCCACTCACATTTAGAGTATATCCACTCAGTATAATTGTATTTCAGATAGTAATATATTATCACAGGACTGGGGTAATAAATGAAGGAGATAAAAAATTATGACTACAGTTTGTATATAATACAATGTACACACAGTTTGTCTTTATTCTTAAATACTTTATAATTAAATACTTACTAAGTCATATATAGAGATATTTACAAAGGAATTTTTATTTTTGAACTGAATAATTGCTCATTGCATATAGTTATTTATATAGGCATTTTGAATGTACACCACATATTATGATGATTTAACCTAGAAAATCTAAAATTCTTCAAAATGAATTTAAAAACCATTATGGTCCTCGTAGTGTCTTATCCACGTATGTTTACCTTAATATATTGTACATAAAATTAATTTGCATTCATTCTTCCTGTAATTCATATTTTACACTCAAGTGCATATTGATGTACTGCATGATAAATCTGGTACCTACTTACTGCTGGCTAGAGAGCGGTAAAGGATTCATGGCCCAAGGATTAAAATTATTATAATCATGGGGGAGCGCTAAACCCTTAAGATTATACAGCGCATGTGGGGGACATGGAAGGTATTCAGGCTCAATTCAGGGAACCGGAGCACAGATCCAACTTCCTAGATCAAGAGCCCTTCAGCGTCAAGGAGCCACCCTTGAGGGGTACGACCCAAGGAATTGGACCTGACTTCCCCTTCCTTGATCGAACGTGATTGCCTTCCCTTTCACCAGGCACCGTACGGCCTCTAAGGGTTTAACGCTCCCCCATTAATATAATAATTTCATACGATGAAAATTGAAGCTAGCTATGTTTCAGTCATGTTCCATCACAGGGTGGATTTCATATGTAGTGTTGAAATCTGTCACACTGAGCCGGATGGAAAGGGGGGGGGGGTCTAATATGGCAATCAGGATATTGTTGGTCAAGTATTATACTAAGGCTCTGCAGATACGGGAGCTATTTTTGTTTTAATTCAACAAATTTTGATACAGCAGCAATGTGCTGTTAACATATTCTATATATACACAATGGGAACAAAAACTGTTTCCCTGTCACATTCCATCATGCAGGATGGAGCTCATACAATGTGTTGAAAGGTATCAGCCTGAGCTATGAGACTTTAGTAGGACAATAAAGAAAATACATATTTCAAAACCACATTTAAGCTACGCTGTGACTGAATTCATGTCTGCATAAATACCTTACTACTGCAGATATATATATATATATATATATATATATATATATATATATATATATATATATATATATATATATATATATATATATATATGTAAATGATTCATTACCACTAATTTGCTGAGCTATCAAAACTTTGGGGGCCCGTCTCTGAACCCATTATTAATGTATGTTGATGGTCAGATATTTACATATAATTTCAATATTGCATTTATTGGTAATTTATGAAGCAATCGCTTTTGCAATAGTACTAAGCATTACCTGAGTTGTAATAAATACTGTAACTGTTTTTCTTCGGTCGGATGTTGTTAACACTGGATTCCGAAGTGCTGCAGTGATGAGGGTGAACGCTGTTTACATTCGTCATCGTCAGGAACGGCATCCATTCGGCGCTCTCGCGGTCGCCCCATCTGAAGCACACACAAATGGCACAGAAGCAGTACCATGTAACAATACGGCAAGCAGCGAGAAGACTGGTGAGGAAGAGTCTGCATGCAAGGTGCCTCGCTTGGAGAAGACGGCTGAGTCTGCATGCAAGGTGCCTCGCTTGGAGAAGACGGCTGAGTCTGCGCGCAAGGTGCCTCGCTTGGAGAAAACCGCTGAGTCTGCATGCAAGGTGCCTCGCTTGGAGAAGACCGCTGAGTCTGCATGCAAGGTGCCTCACTTGGAGAAGACAGCTGTCCAGCCCCTGCAAACGACAGCAGCAGTATTGGGTATGGCTTCCATCCGCTCTACAAGAACAATTATTAAAGAAGTTTTCAATATCTTCAGAGGCAAAGTAGCCAACCAAAACCCACAGTCTGTCCCTGTAACACCATCACAACTCTCAGAACCTTTGTCTCTTCCTGTGCATAAGCTTTTCCTACGTAGTCAAGATCCAAAGTTGTTCCCGACTCCTAGTGGAGTATTAGATAACAAAGAAAATATTCCTCCAGTAGATGCCAACATATCTACGGCAGTTTCCTTACTGGAGAAGTTCCGAAAGGAGGCCATCTTTAAGCAACTCTCAACCCTCCCAGTAAGTTTCTCTCCTTCAAAATATGCAATTTTTGACATGTAATAATTCATACAATCTGCATGTAACAAGTCATACAGTCTGTATGTAACATTTTATACAATTTGTTACAATTCATTCAGTCTGAGTGTAACAGTTAATACCATCAGTGTGTAATACAATTCACATGATCTATATATGCAATCATACGATGTGTGGTTAATAAATGATGCAGTCTGCATATATTATTATTCTTGTTAGGTATCCCTGGAGGGGGACCTTTAAGAGGTTGCTTAAATTTTTCGTTTCCTCCAACTTTCGTTTTTGCTTCCCTCATAACTTGAGAATGCCTCATCCAATCAGATTGAATTTTTCAGTGCTTCTGTACGGTAACTAGGACCAGATTCTTGGAATAATTGCCATGTTCTTCCCTGTGACCAAAGTAGTAGGACTCATTTTATAGCATCTTGGAATAACCTGGATAATTTCCTAAACTCGGTGGAATAGTTTCAAGTTTTCAAAGAAAGATGCCTCCTAATCCGACGACGAAGAAGAGTGAAATTCAAATGTGTAAGGTGTAGATTTAACTATTTTATGTGTAAAATAGTGTAGAATTTTCAATCCATTAAATTATGTTAAGTAAATTTCAATTTACTTCTGATCAGCTTCAGCATTTAGTGGCTGATTTATCTTAGCGCCAGCAGTCCTCATTAAGTTTTGTTTACTTGCAGGCAAATATGCTAATGTAGTAAAATAATTAAAAAACTTGGAGTCGTTGGAATCCATGCCATAAGTTGTGAATGATTCATCTGATCAGCTTCAGATTTTCACCACCGGGCCATAAGCCCAGTTTGCCGATTTTATTGAATAAATAGCGATATTCATTTATATTCAATAAGCGAAGGATGTTTCTGATAAGCTTCAAAATATTATTGAGGATGCATTCCATAAGAAGATTGATACTATGTAAGTATAGTCCGAGTAGATGCAATTTTGACTGAAATTGTTAAAAGAAAACTTTGAATCGTTGGAATCAGATAAATTACTGGAGAATGCCTTTTCCGATTGGCTTCAAACTTCCACCGTTAGTGGGCTTCATTAAAAGAAAGCTTTTGTTCCACAACAACAGTTAATTTCTCATACTTGAAAAAGTTTTAAGGATCCACCTCCTATATTTATGCTTTATTAATGTTGTTAATTAGTGTCGGGTAATCTCTTCTTACACTGTATTGTGTACTCATATCCGCACACCCCTCAAGGGAGGTTCCTTGACGCTGGTGAGAGGCTCTTGATCTTGGGAATTGGACCTATGCTCCAGTTCCCTGAATTAAGCCTGAATGCCTTCCATCCCTCCCCCCACAGGCGCTGTATAATCCTACGGGTTTAGCGTTTCCACGTGATTATAATAATAATAATAATATCCGCACATTGTTTCTAACCAAGCTGGTTATTTGACATTATATATAGCTTCATTTGATTTTTTGAATATGTGGTAGGAAGAGTAATATTCTGCAGAGTCAGACTGATCCAGGATTAAGACTAAGAAATGCCAGCACCATACAAAATTCCATGCATGGGAAAGGGAAAGCTGGGAGCAGCAGCAAGCACAGCTGTACCAACACTAGCCAGGAGGGAACACCTAATGAAAGAAACAAACCTACAAAAAACACAACTCTTAGACGCAGTCGTCGAAAAGAAAACACTTCTGGCAATGTATTAGTCTCAAAGAAGCACTTGAGTTGTTTTTTTCAACTTGTTGGTAAGTTGCAACTATTATTTTAATAAAATACGTTCTTGAATTTACTTACGTAGGAATGAAGTAGAATTTTTAACGGGATCTCTTTAGACATTTCAAGTTATTTTGTTTGAAAGTGAAATTTTTGTTCTTCCTACTGTTTATTTTAGTACATACTGTGCCATATGGATATAATACATATATTTTATTTCACAGTCGTAGTTTGCAACTAGGTAAGATATTTTTTTTTCAACACGCTGGCAGTCTCCCACCTAAGTATGATGACCCAAAAAAAGAAGCATTTTCATCATTCACACATAATCAGTGTCTTTGCAGAGGCGCGCAGATATGACAGCTTAGATGTCACTCCAAACAGCAAATATCCCAAACCCCTGCTTTAAAGTGCAGGCCTTGTACTTCCCACCTCAAGTCCGGCTAACCGGTTTCCCTGAATCCCTTCACAAAATATTACCCTGCTCACACTCCAACAGCTCGTGAAGTCGCAAAAACCATTCGTCTCTATTCACTCCTAACACGCTCACACATGCCTGCTGTATGCCCAAGCCCCTTGCACACAAAACCTCTTGTAACCCCTGACGAGCTGTTGGAGTGTAAGCAGGGTAATATTTTCACGTCAGGGTAATATTTACGGCCATAGCATTGCTACTATTACATATCATGAATTAAAACTTTTCCAAAGTTAGTATGATATATGTGCCAACCTTCATGTAAAATTTTATCGAAATTGGAGATGGTCCACTGGGGACTCCTGGTCCACCTGACATGGGATGACCAGTCTTGTTTACGTCATGTCATGGTTTGATTATTTCTTTTCACTACAGGTTATCAAATAATATATTTAATGGTTTTTATATTTAAGAGGACCCAGTTGTAAGAAAGTTTTTAAAAGTCGACATTTGCCGCCGCTATGCTGACAAGTACCTGTTGGCTATGGTCTTCACCTACTTTGTACGTGCTGGTCTAAAATGTCATCAGTATTCAAAGGAGAACTTCTTTGCTGCATTGTAAGTACAGTACAGTGTTAAACTAAGAAATGTCTATTCTCATTTTGTCTTACTATAAATTTATTTTAAATTGTGCACTTGAGTGTCTTTTTCCTTGTTATTCACACACTGTATACCTTATTAAACGGGACACCTTCAACCCACAACTGTCATATTGAGTCCTCTCTTCCCCATTCCTTCCCGCATTTTCAGGGACGAGAGAACCCATGAAAAGTTGTAATTTTAGTGCATGCATTTGGTTGCACTTTTATAACAGCACTTACAAGAAATAAGGTTATCTACAAGAATTTCTGAGACAAGTGCCTCGTTACTTGACCAATATAATATCACTAGCAAGGAGGAGACCCAACTGACGTAAATAACTACAGACCTACAGATCTAAATTGTCATTGTTGTCCAAAATCTTCGAAAAAATTAATTCACAAATGTTCTTTTCTAGCGTCACTCAACCCCTGCCATTTAGGTTTCAGACAATGCAATTACAAAGATGTTAGACTTTATTTTTATAGACCTTGGGAAAGCATTCGATTTGGAAAATATTAGCTTTTCATTTCCCAGACCGCTAAAACCTCCCTATGTGGGGGATAGGAGGGGGGACGAGCAGTGGACCCCATATACCTACATCTGATGGTGCTACATTTCCTAATCTACTCTTAATTTTTAAGACTAATTCAGTTATGAAGCCTCCATAGGTTAATGTATTATGCACTACTACTTATATACATTTAAGCTCAGAGTTAATAGAGTAATCTAGCTTAGTACCTACAACTTTTCAAAGCCTACACAAATTGACACCCGAACTGCACTTGCGCTGATGACCAGCCACTCTACTATTCAGGGGGCAGTTACAAACTTGTCGCGAGTGAGGAGGTGACCAGTCTTTATCTAATCATACAAATCCATTAACGGCTTAGTTAATTAGAACGACTTATCCTACGACAGGCCTTGTACAGTGAAGTACTTTACCATTTGACAACGCGAATTAGACCCCTTCACTGTTACCTACGAACTTAATTGGAGCTTCCCTCTGGACAAAGGCAGTAGCAGATTGTGACTCGTACAAACATCTCGTTGATTCCTTGCTGAGGCTCCATAGACCCCCCTCCCCTACACCATGACAGTAAGGACCCAATAACATTAAATGCGCATTTCTTGTATTTTATTGGGCTGAGTAGTGTGAAGGGTCTTACCAACCCTCCAGCCTACCAGAGATTCAACATACAGCAACTGGCTTGCTACACACTGCCCTGTGAACTAGTCTTTAGAGGTAAGAATTTAGGTAGCCAGAAATGGGATGGCTGGTTTCTGGGCTGAATTCCACAATTGGCTTGATTGGATCACTAACCTAATCAGTCATAACCCACAGACACCCTCTAGTCTTCACATTTGATAGTGATTGTGTTAATTTTTTTCTAGGTCGCCCAATCATTTTATGAATTTCGGTTTAGTGCTAACCTCTGTAACTGGCACTGTTTTGTTTATTCCTTGAGTTCCATCATCAGAAAAAAATTAATCATGACTCCAATATGTCTATGACTAAATAGTTTCGTTCAGTACATGACAAATTACCTGGGGTGTTCTAAGGCCTAGCCCTAGCAGGATGCATATACTCAACAGTACAGTATTTATAAATTACAGTATTCCTCTTACAGATACCTTGCCCATGATATGGAGGAAGATGAAGAGGAGTTAAAGTATGAAGTGTTTCCCTGGGCACTTGGACACAGGTGGCGTAAGACTTACCCGTCACTTTTACGGAAACGGGATGATATCTTCTGGGCTATTGACTGTCGAGCAGTTGTTTCCAAGAGGTGTTGTGACCAGGTAGTACATTAGTGCAGTTGTACAAAGAGATGTAATGTCCAGACAGTATTGACTTAATGTTCAGTTAGTATTGACATCTTAGTAATTAAAAAAAAACTTGAAATATTACATAGTACTATACTGTGTTACATATCATAGTATCAATTATCTTACCTTTAAAATAAGTTCTGTGCTGTACTGCCACATTCTGGAGTATACTTGGAGATGGTTTTCGGGGGTCACCCCCCCCCCCGCGACCTGGTCTTTGACCAGGCCTCATGGGGGATCCGAGTCTGATCAACCAGGCTGTTACTGTTGGCCGCACGCAACCCGACGTACGAACCACAGCCCGGCTGGTCAGGTACTGACTTTAGGTGCCTGTCCAGCGTCTTGAAGACAGCCAGGGGTCTATTGGTAATCCCCAATATGTTTGCTGGGAGGCAGTTGAGCAGTCATGTATCTTTCTCGCCTGCGTTCCAGGGAAAATAAATCAAGGGACTTCAACCATTCCCAGTAATTTAGGTGCTTTATCGTACTTTTGTGTGCCGTGAAAGTTCTCTTGTACACTCTCCAGGTCAGCAATTTCGCCTGCCTTGAAGAGGGCAGTTAGTGTACAGCAGTATTCCAACTTAGAACAAGCGATTTGAAGAGAACCATCATGGGCTTGGGGTCCCTGGTTTTGAAGGTTCTCATTATCCATCCTATTATTTTTCTAGATGAGGTAAACTAAAGATACTCTGACAATAAACCTCCCAATAAGGGGGCTTATAGGAATTTGTTGTGTACTTGGACGTAACAGTAATCAGATAATGTTATTCAAGTTGATTCACTGCAAATATATAATAAACATACTTGCATTAGGAGAGACTGCATGTAATGGTACATTGTAATTAATCCATCCTTTATTTTGTGGGAAAGTGATAGTAAGTGTAATTTTAGTGATTCTGGACCTCAGCAATGAGAGTGGCTACTCTCACCGCTGGGCAACGGCGACCAGTGCTTTTTAAACTAATTTCTGTTGCTGATGTTACAAACAGTTCTATCAGTCAGAATTAGCTAGGTACATGAGTCTTCTGTTAACTTAAATCAGATTATATTTCACCAAGGTGATGGAAATGCAGCCAGATCACTGGATGTGGGAGCGTGAAAGGCCAATCTACCATGGAGGTGCACACCGAGAGCATCTCAGGCACCCTGTTGATAATGGTAAATGATTAACTTCTGTCTCGTCATTTTATTAGACTATAAAATTGGATTTTGATTCTAATGAAAGATGCATTTCTGCTTATGGGCACTGAGGTCCCACCTCAAGTATGTCACACCTCATTCACACTTGATACCTCTTCATGAACTCGAGTAATATACGTATGTACGTGTGTTATAAACTCAGTAGTGATCTCCATCTCCAATTGCCAGGTGATGTTCGTTTGTTTTGGTTGATGTTATCTGAGGCCCCTTCACCCACAATGCTCCTAACCCTGGTTGACAACCAAAACACAAGGGGGGATGATAGATATCATGGGTCTCCCAGAGCCCATGATGAAGAAATGCGTCTTGCCTTAGAGTCAAAACCCTTTACTGCAATATGACAACAAGGGGACCCACCTAGAATTGTATCATCCATACTTGAGGTTAAGGAGGCAGCTGTTTATCTGATACGGAATGTATGTAGGTACTGTGTATCCAGGAGACAAACCTGTGAAGCATAAGGAGCATTTTTTTTTTCAGATGCCCAGTGATTACCTGGAGTTTACCTGGAGAGAGTTCCGGGGGTCAACGCCCCCGCGGCCCGGTCTGTGACCAGGCCTCCTGGTGGATCAGAGCCTGATCAACCAGGCTGTTGCTGCTGGCTGCACGCAAACCAACGTACAAGCCACAGCCCGGCTGATCAGGAACTGACTTTTGGTGCTGTCCAGTGCCAGCTTGAAGACTGCCAGGGGTCTGTTGGTAATCCCCCTTATGTGTGCTGGGAGGCAGTTGAACAGTCTCGGGCCCCTGACACTTATTGTATGGTCTCTTAACGTGCTAGTGACACCCCTGCTTTTCATTGGGGGGATGGTGCATCGTCTGCCAAGTCTTTTGCTTTCGTAGTGAGTGACTTTCGTGTGCAAGTTCGGTACTAGTCCCTCTAGGATTTTCCAGGTGTATATAATCATGTATCTCTCCCTCCTGCGTTCCAGGGAATACAGGTTTAGGAACCTCAAGCGCTCCCAGTAATTGAGGTGTTTTATCTCCGTTATGCGCGCCGTGAAAGTTCTCTGTACATTTTCTAGGTCGGCAATTTCACCTGCCTTGAAAGGTGCTGTTAGTGTGCAGTGCGTAAAATTATATCTGTACTTGACCCTGAGCAAAGCTCGCACCAAAATGCAGTAATGGCGTCTTAAGAAGATAAGAGATAAGATAAGATTTCGTTCGGATTTTTAACCCCGAAGGATTAGCCACCCAGGATAACCCAAGAAAGTCAGTGCGTCATCGAGGACTGTCTAACTTATTTCCATTGGGGTCCTTAATCCTGTCCCCCAGGATGCGAACCACACCAGTCGACTAACACCCAGGTACCTATTTGCTGCTAGGTGAACAGGACAACAGGTGTAAGGAAACGTGTCGGAATGTTTCCACCCGCCGGGAATCGAACCCGGGCCTTCCGTGTGTGAAGCGGGAGCTTTAGCCACCAGGCCACTACAGAAAAAGGACACTACAAATATGAAATAGGAGATGCTACAGTTGTAGCTTTGGGGTGGATCAGACCTGGACAGTGAGTTATTTATCCGAAAATATTTAAGGATATGATTGTACCAATCTTTGTCACCTGAGGATAGCATGAATCTCCAGCTGAGTAACCAGTAGCAAAGACTGTACAGACTAGGTGGCTTATATGATTCATAAACAGTGCTAATATAGAGGAAAACAGCCAGCATTAAAGTAGCGACACTTGGAACACGTTCGGCTCAAAACATTGGTAAATAATAAATTTGCTCCTGACATTAAAATGTGCCGATTGCCACAGGGGATTACTGCAGACATGGTGGTACCTAAGAGGCCTATGCCAGAATCGTAGAGGGAAGCCTGGTTGCGAGAGTATAATGTCTCTTGTAATAAGCACATGAAGGATAAACCCTCATCACTTCTTGAGCAGAGTGACCACTATAGGTTTAGTGCTTCATTTAAATATTTATTTATGGTGAATCATGTGACACTCCAGGGATATCAAACTGGGATCACAGAAGATATTGCTGGGGTTGATATCATTATTATTATTCAAGTATTACATAGTGTTGCACGTGAAGACTTGTAGAAAGGGATACCATGTACCCGCCCGGTGGCCTGGTGGCTAAAGCTCCCGCTTCACACACGGAGGGCCCGGGTTCGATTCCCGGTGGGTGGAAATTCCGACACGTTTCCTTACACCTATTGTCCTGTTCACCTAGCAGCAAATAGGTACCTGGGTGTTAGTCGACTGGTGTGGGTCGCATCCTGGGGGACAAGATTAAGGACCCCAATGGAAATAAGTTAGACAGTCCTCGATGACGCACTGACTTTCTTGGGTTATCCTGGGTGGCTAACCCTCCGGGGTTAAAAAATCCGAACGAAATCTTATCTTATCTTATCTAGGAAGGGGACTAAGAGGGCTCGGGAATCACCACAGGGAGGAGCGGGAGAAGCGACGAAGAGTGTAGAACTACCCAAGATGACACTTTCAAAACCAATGAGGAGCCACCCCACTAGAAATCCTCATAAGAAGTCTTCACAACTGATCACATGGCCTAGACTGCCAGAATATGTGAACCACAGGACGGACATAGAAACACCCCAACAGCCACATAAAAAGAAGTCTCATTACCCATAGAAATTCTATAAGAACAGGAGAACTGTATACAATTATTATTAAATACTGTATTTCTACAAGTACATGTACAAGGTATACAGGCCTAGCTGACATCAATGACATTCTACTATATAGAAAGCCGCTTGTTGTGCAGAGTATTTCGGGCAAATTATGTCAATTTTGTCCTGAGCTGCGACCCACACCAGTCGACTAACACCCAGGTACCCATTTTATGCTGATGGGTGAAAATGACAACAGGTGCCTTATGGAAATACATCCTAATGTTTTCCAGCCGTACCAGGGATTCGAACTCCGGACCTCTGTGTGAGCTGAGTGCGCCAGCGATCGAGCTACGGGACACCAAATCCCAAGGATATCCACGGAACGGAGGTCTGGTACTAGGCCGAAGAAAACAGTAGAAATCTTGCAGCTCAGAATGAGAGGGTAGATTAATTGACATGAGTAGGGATAAATGCTGATTTATGGTTTTTCTGGACTCCGAACTGACCTTGGACATAATTAACAAACTGCCTTAGCAAGTGCTGGCGAAGGGATCCCTATATATGCGGTATTGAGTGTACTATAAGGTGTATGATGGAGCATTCTAGGGACAAAGGTGAGTTTTGATGTAAATGAAGCAGGCATGTTCCTGGTGGGCCCAAGGCTACCCTGGTAGAAATACACAATCATAATGCTGAAAATAATACAGTACAGTACTTAGTGCTTTATTGCTCATAATAAAATAAAGTGGATTTGGCAGAATATTTTGATATTCGATATTTAATATTTTGTGTAGGGAGGAATATCGTTGCATAGGAGTGAGGAAGAGCGTGAGGTGAATGTGGGAAGAGTACACAAAACGATAGATAAAATGGAAGGGGATAAAGCAACTGGAACAAATTGGATTAAGGCAGAGATGTTGAACGCAGGTTGGGATATAATGTTGGAATGGCTGGTGCATTAGTTCAGTATATGCATAAAAGAAGGGAATGTATACAAGGATTGGCAGAGAGCATGCAGTTTCTTTGTATAAGGGGAAAAGAGAGAATGCAAGAAATACAGGGGAATAAGCCTTCTTGAGCATGCCGGGGAGAGTATGGTAAAATTATTATAGAGATACTTAGGGATAAGAGGGAAAGTTGCAGTACATGGGAGAAAGGAGGATTTAGGAAGGTAGTGGAGGTTAGTTAGTTTAATATGTTTATTATGCACCCCATACCCATCCTGTGGGCGGTAGTCAAAAGATTACAGAGGTACATAATTGGTCCAGGGACTGGACTCCAAAGTTTTGATAGCTGAGCAAGTTACAGAGGTAATGAATTCACAATTTACAAAGGTAATGAACTCACAAATTACAAAGGTAATGAACTCCGGGTAGGTCTAGTCACAATCATGACAAGTTACAAAGGTATTTACAGATTACAGAGGTACGTAATGGATCCAGGGACTGGGCCCCAAAGTTTGGATGGCTGAACTAGGTACAAGGTAATGAACTCACAAGTTACAAAGGTAATGAATTCTGTAAGAATGGTTACTTACGTTTATACATGGCTACAATCATGAACAAATTATAGTGTAATGAGCAATTCACACTTCCACACCCGGTCACAACTGTAATGAGTTATTGGTGCAAATATTGATTGTTGAGTCACACACACACACACACATATACAAATTCACATCACACACACACACCACACACATAAACACACACACACACACACACACACATATACAAATTCACACACACACACACACACATATAAACACACACACACCACACACACACACACACACACACACACACACACACACACACACACACACATACACAAACTCATACACACGCACACACTCATACCGGTGAAGAGGCGGGACCAGGAGCTAAGACTCGACCCCTGCAACCACAAATAGGTGAGTACACACACACACCCACTCATACACACACACACACTCATACACATACACACGCACACACAAACACACACACAAACACACACACACACACACAAGCACTGGACAAGCACCTAAAGTCAGTTCCTGATCAGCCGGGCTGTGGCTCGTACGTTGGTTTGCGTGCAGCCAGCAGCAACAGCCTGGTTGATCAGGCTCTGATCCACCAGGAGGCCTGGTCACAGACCGGGCCGCGGGGGCGTTGACCCCCGGAACTCTCTCCAGGTAAACACACAGGAGCTTGGACTCGACCCCTGCAATCTCAACTAGGTGAATGCACACACACACACACACACACACACACACACACACACACACACACACACACACACACACACACACACACACACACACACACACACACACACACACACACACGCACACACACACACACACACACAAACACACACACACACACACACACACATGCACACATGCACACATGCACACATGCACACATGTGGTAATGCTTTATTTACAGCTAGCAAAGTCAGGGTATTTCTCCAGAATGGTCTGCAATATACCACTGTGGATAAAATACTTTGCCATTTCTTGAACATTTCTGAGTGAGTTGTTTCTAAATTCATTAATTTTATCACACTCCAGTACATAATGACGCAGGGTGTGACAATAGTCCATCTGGCAAAGTTTACATTTCGTTTGGTCTACATCTGGTGGTGGTGATTTAACCTGCCAAAGATACTTGTAACCCAGCCGGAGCCGGGCAGTAGTGACATCCAGGAGTCTGCTTATTTTGTTGGATGCACCATAGACATGTGGCTCCTCCTGCATGATAGAGTGATGATAGATGGACTCACTGGTGTCAATCTCCCTGAGCCTTAAGTCCATAAAATTCAGTTGAAGTTCTTTTCGTATTATTGTTCTCAAACTACTACCTGACAAGCCAAGATTGTAATCTACTCCCTCTTTGAAAGCATACAGCTTAGCCAATTTATCAGTTCTATCATGCATCTGAAGACCAATGTGAGATAGAATCCACAGCATGTGCACTCTGACTCCACTGTCCACAATCCTACCATACCTGTGTCTGGCTTCTGACACAAGTATGCCACAATTTATGCTTAATGAGTTGAGAGCATTTATGGATGACAGAGAATCAGTTACAATTAAACTGTCAATCTTTGATACATAGATGCATTTCAGTGCAAGGAGTATGGCAAACAGTTCTGTCTGAAGGGTAGAGGCCCAATTATTGATGCGTGCTCCAATTTCTTTAAGAGAGCCATCACTCTGTACGACAACAGCAGCACTACCAGCTGCACCAGTGGATTGGTGAACAGAACCATCAGCGTAAATAATTTGCGAGAGTGTGTGCTGTGGGACTAAGTTATCAATACAGCTTAAGGCCTCATGTTTGGCTTCAAGGCGAAGTTTTGGTTGTGATTTAAGAAGTAGTTTGGGGGGAAATGGAGGAATGGTAGTTTGGAATGGGGTAATATTCCATGGAGCGGAGAAGTGCCGCTGTTGCCTTACTTGACATAGATCATGTATCTGATTCATGCGGAGGTCGGTTCCAGTTTTTTTCGATCCATCTGGAGGAGTGTTCACCAGTGCTGAGGAAAGTTTGGAGGACTTCTGTGCAGGGGTTTGAATGAGCTTGCCTGAGCATATTAACCCCAATTAGGATATTTCTTTCAGTAACACGATCTCTGATGCTTGGAATATCAAGTTCTTTTTGCATATTTAAAATTTTGGCAGTACGAGGGCATCCTAAAATGATCCTCATTGCTTCGTTCTGCAGTTTTTTCCAGCCCTCCAAGCTTCCAGTCAGACACAAGAGCAAGTAGTGGCGCAGCATAATCAACCAATGATCTAATATAAGCAAGATACATCATTTTCACAATTTTAACATTAGCACCATACCTGGGGTGAAACCCAGCCACAACTCTAAGTGCTCTTAGTCTTTCTTTGTATTGGCGACAAAGTCTTGTTACAACAGGTCCAAGTAGTGGAACCTCAAAGCCTAGATACCTGTATCTGCTTACATATTCTAGAAGAGACCCATCATGCAATTGGATCTGACGAACTGTGCCTCTCTGTCGAGGAGGACGCCTATTGAGTATCTTTGTTTTATCAGTAGAGATTATCAACCCCAGGTCCTGACACGAGGCTAGTACATGATTAAGAATGTTTTGGGTATTGGAGAATCCGGTGGTGTGAATCATTATATCATCAGCAAAACTAATCACATAATGATGGGGCTGACTAGGCATAGCATTAAGTAATGCATAGTGGTGGAGGTGTAGACTGTGTTTACATTGAAACATATAAGTGATAAATATTTAAATAAGGGTATAGCACTGTTCATTGCATTTATGAACTTGGAAAAACATAGGGTAGATTGGGAAGCAATGTAGTAGATGTTGCAAACACATGGAAAAGTGTTTGGTTACTAAAAGCGGTAGATTTATGTCGATGGTCCCCTCAAGGAAGGTTCCTTGATGTTGGTGAGGGGCTCTTGATTTAGGGAATTGGATCTGTGCTCCAGTTCCCCGAATTAAGCTTGAATGCCTTTCACATCCCCCCCCAAGCGCTGTATAATCCTCCGGGTTTAGCGCTTCCAGCTTGCTTATAATAATAATATGTCGATGGTGCGGTCAGGTAAGCGTATGTAAGGGAGAGAGGGGACTTTAGACAGGGGTATGTGATGTCACTCGTTGTTTTCCATATTTGTAGATAAGGTTGCAAAGGAAGTGAATGCTCATGTTGCGAGAAGTGTGGGATTAAAAAATGATGGATCTAATTCAAAGTGGAAGTTGCCACAGTTGCTCTTTGCCAATGACACGGTTCTTTTGGGAGATTCTGAGGGGACTTTAGACAGGGGTATGTGATGTCACTATCGTTGTTTTACATATTTATAGATAAGGTTGCAAAAGAAGTGAATGCTCATGTTGCGAGAAGTGTGGGATTAAAAAATGATGGATCTGTTTCAAATTGGGAGTTGCCACAGTTGCTCTTTGTCAATGACACGGTTCTTTTGGGAGATTCTGAAGGTAAATTACAAAGGCTGGTGGACGAATTTGGGAGAGTATATAAAAAAAAGGGAAATTAAGTTAACATAGAGGAAAGCAAGGTGATGAGAATAAGAAAGTCTAAGCAGTGAAAGATTGAATATCAGATTGAAGGGAAGGATATACAGTAGTTAAATATTTGGTAGTGGGCATATCAGCAGATGGGTCTGTGAAATATCAGGTGAACCACAAAATAGAAGAGGGGAAAAAGGTAGGTGGTGCATTGAGGCATCTGCGGAAAGACAAGTTAATCTGGTTTTAAAAAAGGGAATGTACCAGAGTATAGTGACACCAACGCTTACATATGGTATTTGAATGTTGCAGTGATTATGTCTGACTTTTTTGGGTTATCCTAGGTTCTCTACACATATGCTGTTATGTATGATAATCTAGGTAACTGTATATGTGTATACCTGAATAAACTTACTGGTATGAATATTATGCAAAGGATTCTGATTTTAGAAATTATAAGGCAGTGTGGGTTACCAAGGGTATATATAATTCAGAGAGCTGAGGTGGGGTTGAGATGGTTTGGGCATTTAGAGAGCATAGAGAGGCATAGCATTATAAAGAGGGTATATAAATCTGGGGAGGAAGGTAGAGATTGTTCGGAATTTTAACCCCGGAGGGTTAGCCACCCAGGATAACCCAGAAAAGTAAGTGCGTGATCGAGCAGTCTGTCTTATTTCCATTGGAGTCCTTCGATCTTGTCCCCCAGGATGCGACCCACACCAGTCAACTAACACCCAGGTAGCTACTTGCTTGCTAGGTGAACAGGGACAGCAGGTATAAGGAAACAAGTCCAGTATCTCCACCCAGCCGGGGATTAAACCACTGAGATTCAGTGTGTGAGGGGAGAGCGTTTCCTACTGGGCCACGGGAACGCTCTTATCCCATGAACAACTAGACTAGAGGGAGTGGGTGAAGGAGGCTTTGTGTGTTAGGAGCTTGAGCATGCAGGTTTATGTGAGTGTTGGGTTGGAGTAGAGAAAAGTTTTTTTAAAGGGATGTGTTATTGAAGTGTGAGCAAGGCAAGATTTATGAATAGATTAGGAGAGACTGGTTACTTTTTTTGGTGGGTTTCGAGAGTATAACTACTGTAGCTAGGCCCTAGACCAGGCTTAGCTAGAATTTGAGTCCTGAAAGTGGGAAAGGCAGTGCCTGCACTCTGAAAGACGGGGGGGGGGGAGGTATTGCACTTCGGAGGATCATATGAATTGTGATAGCACACTACTAGCAATATTATTGAATAATATTGTATGTATATTCTTTTTGGGTGCTACTTTCACGTGCGGTCTACCAGCTCATTTACACTTTTAGGTTAGGTTAGATAAAAAAAGGTCAGCACAGGTAAAAAAAAAAATTATAACATAAAGGTAGACCGCACGTTAAAAGTCAGTTCACAGCGTAGACTACTAATACTGTGTAGACCGCACGCTAAGTGGTCTAACTAACCGCACGCTAAAGTAGCACCCTTTTCTGAGTCACCCTACCTTTGTGGGAGAATAAGGTAAAAAAAAATATATATTAATAATGTACAATACGTTATTTATAATAGTGAATAATTATTGCATTGAAAATGCTCTTTATAGGTCATCCTCGAGGTCCTGATAAATCACCTCTACAGTGTCAAAAGTGTCTGGAACGTGAATGTGTTGATTCTGAAAATTCGTATCTCCTCTATTTGTCTGACACTGATACTAGTATAGAGTCAACATGTTTAGGTAAGTTCAACATTTTCATGAAGCATCATGCCTTAAAGTTACTTTATGTATACTGTACTTACAGACAAAAACTAGTGAATTTAAAATGTATCATTTAAATTATTGTAGCAGGCTTGTTTTTGCAAAATTCTAAGGGCAGGAATCGCAGACGTAACGTACTTGTCACAGGTATTTTCATCAATAACTTTAATATAGACATTGTTATAGTCATTAGGATAATTTTCTGTTAATAACTCCTAGATCCCTTTCTTTTTATGATACTCCCGTGGCTTAGCGCTTCTTTTTGATTATAATAATAATTATGATACTCCCAAAATTGTCGCAGTCTATATTCTTTATGTAGTCTGATTTTGCTTTCGCTTATTTGCATTACGTGACATAAATCAGCATTAAATTCCATCATCGATCAGTCGTTAATTGCTCAACTTATCAAAATCATCTTTTTGTAGATGAATGGTTCAGAGAACCGACATGTTGATAAATTAGACACATGTGCAACTCAATAAAGATACCCAAGAGTTGCACATGTGTCTAATTTATCAAAATCATCTTTTAAAGAGTTGCAGTTGCTTTTATTATTTACTGTACACTAGATTTTTTTCATCGGCTGCAAACAAATTTATATGTTTTTATATTCCTTCTGGCAGTGTGCTTATAAGTGAGGTCAGAATGGGTGTTGGCAATGTACATAAAAGGAACTCGATGGATGACCTGTCTTCTGCTCTTTCCTCACCAATTCACCTGACTTGTCCTCTGACTTTTTTCTCACCTTTTTACCAGACCTGTCTTCAGGCTTTCTTGTCACCTCTTCACCTGACCTGTCTTCTGCCTTCTCATATCATCACATGACCTGTTTCTGGTTTTTGCCACACTTCTTCATTGGATCTGTCTTATGGCTTTTTTTTTTTATCATTTCTCTTTCTCTTGTGCTTTAATAACAGTCCAGGATAGACTGAAATATTGTTTTATGTTTCCTCCTAAATTGTAGGTTAGTTGTGAATTATGAGACGTTTGAATTTTAGTATTAAATTTATGTTGATGCTGGTCTAGGCAAATGTAAAGCAAGGGTGGGTTAGTATGATCCTTACATCCCCATTCCTTCTCCCTTCTCATTATGTGTTATGTCTGGTTATTAGCTAGTTTGAAGGCATACAGCCACTCATCTGACTTTTATAATTTAAATAGCTGATGGCAAGACAGTGGAGCACAAGGAGAGAGATTCTGGGTTTGAGACATTCCTGTGCCAGCCATCTGACACAAGCATTAACTCTCCTCAAGGTTCTGTAAACCATGACAAAATGGATATTCCAACAGATAGGTTAAATGATAATGGACAGGATGATACAAAAGCAGCTAATTACACAGGCACCGTCCAATGTTTTACAAACAACTGTGAGTCTTCTTCAGCTTGTGATGTTTCAGGAAATGGAAATGTTAAATTATCTAAAGAAGATGATATTGAGGACCATGAAGCTCCAGTCTCACAAGCTGACACAATATTTACTTCACAAATATTATCACAGTAACCCAAGATTTTTTCACCCAACTTCTATAATTGATAATGGTAAATAGGAATTTTCTCTTTCCTTCAATATTGCTTACTGGAAATGTTCTTTGACATTGACATATTTGTTTATTTTTATATGCAGTGCAGTACATATATTTTTAATGACTACAAAAACAATAATGCATTTAGTTTACCAGGCTAAAATATATAGACGTCATTAATTTATATGAGGCATGGTGGATAGTAATGGTTAACTCAACATCATAGCTATTGTAAAAACTGCCTTAAAATGCTATTTATGTGAAAAAATGTAATAAAAACTTAAATTATTTTTCTCTTGCAATTTGTATCTGCATGGCTAGTGCAATTTTTGTTAAATTCAGACATGAAGTTCACCCTTACTGTCTTCAATGCCTCGTATGTAGCCACAGTTTTCATAAAGATATGTTTGTTACATTGGAAGGATATTATTTTCCCAGTATGTTTATTATTTTTAATTCATGCTAAGTGCTAAACTCAAGTGGATCATTCAGTGCAAGACATGGTGGAAACTTGATCCTCCATCTGCTGAGTGCAAGACAAGGTGTGCTTCTTATTTGTACTTGCCTAGATGTCTTACCCAGTATGTAAATGTTGTACTTTATTCACAAAGAAAGCACATACAATGTGTGTACATATAAGGTTTCAGTCAGTGTAGTATTATCTTGTATATGTTCACTGTAAATTTGATTACAAGTAGTTCTTTTACAAATTTAGTGTATAACTTAACAAGAGTGTGCAATTTAGGAATTACAGTATATACAGTAGATAAATTGTGTATTAAGATAAATTATTTTTGAAAAAATTGTACTATTAAATTTTACTGTATATACATTAGTACATGTCTTGAAATATATAGCATTATTATATCTAGGGAAAAGTGTTAAGCCTGTAGGTGTCACATCTCTTGGAAATAGGAGGCAGTCAGGTTTTATCCAAATGGGAGAATAGGTCCAGTTCCTTGGATCAAGGCACCTCTCTCTTAAGGGGTTCAAAATCTTAAATTCCACCAGATATGTGTTCCAAAAAATGAGCTTCATACAGTAGTATACATGATTTTATTATGTAACCCTGTGTAACTTCCCTTTAGAAAAACCTTTCACGAAAGTATAATATACAGTGGACCCCCGGTTTACGATATTATTTCATTCCAGAAGTATGTTCAGGTGCCATTACTGAACGAATTTGTTCCCATAAGGAATATTGTGAATTAGATTAGTCCATTTCAGACCCCCAAACATGCACGTACAAACGCACTTACATAAATACACTTACATAATTGGTCGCATTGGGAGCTGATCGTAAACCGGGGGTCCACTGTATATTATATAGTATAGAAGAGTATATAGAAATTAAAGAACTGTAATATAATAATATTTACGTTTGAGTCTTACTGTGTACAGTGGAACCTCGGTACTCGGACTTAAATTCATTCCAGAAGACTATTCAAATATTGAACGAATTCTTCCCAACCATTTTCTTTTTTGTTTGCTGTTATCACAAATCTTCGTAGGCCCCATGGTGACTTTATGCAAATAATAAAAAAAAAAAAAAAAAAATATGCTATGAAACATGAAATAGTTTACAGCGAAGCTCTGGCAGGTCATGTTTGTTTGGTCCAGTCCCGAGTTTTGTTCGAGTAGGGAGCTAGTTGAGTACCTAGGTTCCACCATACTTATTGTTACATTATTTTTAATGTAATTCATTATTTTCTGCTTCCATTATTATTTTTACTATACATACTTGTATTATTATTATTATTAGCATTATTAATTATTATTACATTCACAACAAAGCACTAAATGCATATGGGCTATACAGTGCTAAGTTTTACTTCAAAGAAAAATTAAAAATATATACAGTGGACCCCCGCATAACGATCACCTCCCAATGCGACCAATTATGTAAGTGTATTTATGTAAGTGCGTTTGTACATGTATGTTTGGGGGTCTGAAATGGATTAATCTACTTCTCAATATTCCTTATGGGAACAAATTCGGTCAGTACTGGCACCTGAACATACTTCTGGAATGAAAAAATATCGTTAACCGGGGGTCCACTGTATATAATTTTCAAAAGATTAGATTTATTGTGGATCTTTGTCATTGTGTTTCGTATGAGAGGCTGAGTGAATGAAAACTGTCTGACAAATCAGCTTACTGTGTTTAATGATGAAATATTTCTTGAAATATTATATGTATTGTGTTATGTATACCAATTTATAATTTTCTTGTGCAATATTATTGACTAGTTATGGTTCTTGCATACAGCTGTATGTATACCCTGTGCAATAAAGGAATAGGAGATTGAGTCAGTGAAACATTTTCTGCTGTTGGATCATGAAAGAGGACTACATTTGAAATTATCATTTCTAGTTTTGCCTTATACCTCCCTCCCCCCCAATAAGATTTAATGTTTTGTTAATGCCCACAGCAACCTCACTAGCATTCCCTGCTGGTCTTTACACTTGTGATACATAGACTTAAGGCATGGTACTCATCAAGAGATTTCTTGGTGTGAAGGGCTCTTGATCCAAGGATTTGAAACTGTCCTGTTCCTTGGATCAAATCTAATTGCTTCCATTTCCCAGATAGGACAAGTTCACTTAACAAGTTAGTTATCACCCAGCTCTTGCCCTGTTAATGCCTAACTTTTTGTGATGGATTATTTTCTTGATGGCTCTACCCCACACCAGTTTTGCAGATACAGTATTTGTGCCTGTATTCACTTGATATTCCTCGCCTCCTCCTGAGGATAACAATTTAGCATGCATTATCCATCCAACTTGTAGCACAGATGGTCCTCATGTTAAATGTCTACCATCTGACACTGACTCTTCTGGAGAGAGCCCTCTGCTAGCCCCTTTTGGGGTAGCTCCTTGTCCATGCCTCTGGGCCCATTCCTCATGTACATACTATGTTACCTTTTTGCCTTGCACACCTAGATATTTTATTTAGGGGAAGCGCTCAACAAATATATGTCATAATGCCTGGGAAAATGGGAGGCAGTTGCATTCGATCCAAGAAATGGATGGACATGTTCAATTACACCAAGAGCCCCTTCTCAGCATCAAGTATCCTTTCTTGAGGGGACCTAGATATAAAGTTTAGCAATTTCTTTGGTTTAAATTGCTAGTATATATACTAATGTTTGCTGAATCGAGAAATATCATAGAAACTACCAAGCTAATGGGAGACTTGTGTATTGTGTTGAATCTGCAAAGAATTGACATTTGATTCAAATCACACCCAGTGATGCTCCTAGACAAACACAGCCTTAAGTGATGAATGACACTAATGATTCGTGGTAATCACTAACCCAGAAGGGTCATTCACTGCTACTTTGCAGAGGTGAGAGATGGTGAAGAAAAAGTAGTTGAGGTAAGGACAGAGGTGTCAAAGTTCATGTAGTTAATTAAAATCACTTATGAAATGGGTACATTTGTAAATTACTTTTGTTGAATAAGGCTTCACCAATGTTTATCCTTGTACAAACTCTTGTAGTTTAAGTATATATTTTCATACAAATTTACTTATTTTTACCCTAAGTTTTTCATCAGTTAGGTTGTGATTGTGTCTGCATTATGACTGGTTAACAGAAAAATTAAAATTACAATACTGTGGCTGGAACAATTATGAAAAACCTACACATAAAGAGAGAAACCTTATGATGTTTCAGTCTGTCCTGGACCATTGTCAGTTATCAGAAAGAAGCGCTAAACCACAAGGGTTATACAGCAGAACCATTGTCAGATCACAACATTTGTGGCTTAATAATGGTCCAGGATGAACAGAAACCTCATCAACAGGTTCGACGTCACAGAGGAAAGTGCTTTGATGCCAGTGAAAGGTCCTTGATCCAAATATCGGAGCTACCTCACCTTTTTCTTGTGTCAAATTTGATAGCTCCCGTTTTCCAAGGTGTCTCAGTAGTCAGTTGGTGCCTGTGTTTCTCTGAGGCCTGTTTGTTAGTGGTATGCTGAGGATGGTTGGTATAAAGTAACCATTAGAATGGAGTGTGCTTGAACATGTGCACAAGCAAGCATGAGTGCCTATAAGGTTGTATATGGCATACCCCATGCTAAGTTATTTATACCAGCCTTACAATCAAAATTAAGCACTAAACTCAGAAGGGTCACACAGACACATGCCTTATAAAGGTACTACACAGGCACCAGTAGACAATGACATGTTATATGACCCTGATAGGTTTACTCTCCTCCACGATTATTATTATTATAATCAAAAAAGAAGCGCTAAGCCACAAGGACTATACAGCTCTCCTCCACGAAAGTGTGTGCACACGCATTCGCCTATTTGTGGTTATAGGGGTCGATTCTCAGATCCTGGTTCTGCCTCTAATCTTGCCGTTCTTCAGACTCACTCTGGATCTTATCGTACCTTCTCTTAAAACTGTAGAGTTGGCCCCACCATTTCCTCACCATAATCATTCCACTTCCTGACAGCTCTGGGACTGAAAAAATATTTTCCTATGACTGACTTTCAGCCCAAGGGTCATCTCTCTCTAACAGCCTATCCCTGTTGACTCAATTTACCTCTGAATATTTTGTATGTTATGTCTCCCTGGTTCTCCAGTATTGTTAGGCCCAGTTCCATTAGCCTCTCCTCATGTGTGTGTGCACTTGCCTATATGTCATTGCAAGGGTCAAGTCTTAGCTCCTGACTCTTTCCCCCTCACCTTGTTGCTTATCAAAGTCAGCCTCATAGCTTCATGGGCCCTATGACACTTGTTCTTAAAGCTATGTATAGAGCATGCCTCATTCCACTTTGCGACCTCTGAAACTGAAGAAATACCTTCACAAACTAACATTAATAAAACTGGGTTTTCGAATCAAAAGGAAAATAATTTGTTCATTTATTATTTCATACCACAGAATATGCCTCAAATGTACAAAAAAATTATTAGAAAGTTTTTTTCACACGGTTCATTTCGAAAGTGGAATTTTCTATATACCCATGGTGTAGGACCAGCAGCCAAGGGTTGTTTCAAAATTTCACAAACACTTGCCAACTTTATGATTAAAAAGGAGAGCAATTTTTAATACCAGTATATGAGTTCTAGAGAGAACCCTACTTGAGGTAATACATCATAATACAATCAAGAAATACATTCTTGTATTTTGAACTAGAGCAATCATTTACAACCTAAAATATTAATACTACATAACAAAAATGTACTCAAATCTACACTAATTTCAATAACAAAATTACAATAAAACTTACTAAATTGTACAAAATTTAAAAATATTGTATTCTTTATAAACTTCAAAGAGATTAACAAATAATTACATTTTTTTTTATAAATTATGGAAATGATGAGCACATACTGTGACACTTTAGGATAATATCATTATTATTGCTTTTGAGATAGTAAGACTAGATTAATTTACTGAGATTGCAACATTTTATGAAACTTGGTCATCCATAACAACACAATATCAATACATCTGTAATGAAAATAATTTATACAACAATTATCAAAACCAGTCTTCTATTAAATACATACAGTATTTTATAAATTTCTTGTAAAAACATCTGTCATGTAATAAAAGTATGGTACTACATATAGCTGAGACCTCTTTAAATACTTTACCAAAAGTTTCACAAATGATACAGCTCCAAAATATGAATACGTATATAACTGTCATGGTTTGGTAATGTATTGCTATACCAAATATGGAAGAATAAACTACTGCAGTATGATTTCGGTACTAATCAGATTCCACAAACTTAAAATGCAAAAATGGCAAACATGACACAGATACAAGAGCAAAGATTATTTTATTTAATATATAACTTTACTCTAAAAATTAGTGCCAATTTTTTTTTGTGCCTCAGCCAATTCCATCAGGCATATCTAATTTTAAATGGCTTCCATCACTGTGCTGTAGTGTATTATTTTTTTACAATTTTATGGTATATTATTTGCATCTATATTTTTAACTAACCTTGTGACTGTGTCCAATGTACTAATGTGCAGTTCATGGCTGTGTCTGATGTACTAGTACACAAGTTTTCGTGCCTTCAAATATGCCACCTGCCACAATTTTTTGACCTTAGCACAACTCTTTAGATATTCTACACAATCTTCATGCTTTTGAAAAAAAAAATCTAAAGTCAGGCAAGTCCATACAGTGCATCATAGTTAACAGTGCCTATCATAAGTAAACAATGATACCAGGGCTTGTTGTTCCACCACCAGCTTCCCTACCAGCAAAACAGGGTTGAACTGACAAGAAGATGCCTTATTCATTCTAAACTTGTTCCACTAACAGAGGAATTCAGCCACAAAGCACACTATGTAGTTTTAACCCTGGATAACCTAACAAGTTCAAACAATGATTTAACTCCGTCTTGATTGGTATTACAACATGAAAACAATTGTAATATCATAAGAAGACACACATGTTATGGACACAAATTACATTATGTTTATATAACCCAGGATATTGGTGAACCTAAATATATAAATAATTACTATAGGGTAACCTAAATCAAACAGTGCAAGTTATTTCCATGTTTTGAGGAGTATTACACCTTGAAACAACTGTAATATTATACATATTAAATAACAAAAAGGCATAATACTGTGACTGGAACAATACACAAATAACCCTCACATAGGAGAGGGGGAGCTTAAGATGACGTTTCAGTCCGACTTTGACCATTTACAAAGTCACAGTGTGATTTTGTAAATGGTCCAAGTTGGACTGAAACGTTGTCGTAAGCTCCCTTCTCCTATGTGCGGGTTATTTTTATATCATAAATATTACTTGTACATAGTGTTAAAAGTAAAAAATTAATAACAATTATTTCACCAATTTACACTGCAAATGTGAAGTGGAGCAATGTCAGGCTAAACATTTTCCCATATTTGGAAGTATGTACTGTATATAGTGGTAAATATTAACAACATTTAAAAACTGAAAAATTATAATTTGCCATCAAGTATATTGTAAAACGTAAATACTGCTAGCGAGTTTGCACTTCTGTTGCCGATGTGATAATTTTTTTTTGCCAACTTGAACGCCACAAAATACCAAGTTTTTATCAGGTTCCACTCATTTGGATCTTGTTAAATTCATAAAAATGCACTCTCATTCTGCATTTTTCTTTTTTTAATGCCACCCCCCCTTCCCCCCTTACATAGTGCAGGCACTGCCCTTCCCATATCCTTAACCCAAATTGGCCAACTGGTTTTCCCTGATTTCCTTCATAAAAACATTACTTTGCTCACACTTCAACAGAATGTCCATCAAAACTTACTTGTCTGTATTCATTTTTATCTAACATGCTCACACAAGCCTGCTGGATGCTTAAGCCCCTAGAATTCAAACACATCTTTTACCTCCTCCCATCAACTGTTCCTGGGATTATCTTCTACCCCAAATTTATACACCCTTTTTGTCATCTTATCCCCCTTCTGCCCAAACCCTTCCTCAGGCTTCTGAATTATACCCTTGCTGACCTTACATTGCCTTTTACTTTCCACCCTCCAAAGTCTGTCTCCAAAGTGAGTAACATGAATATACACAAAATATTAATGCATATGATAAAAACAATAAATATAATTCAGCTGTAACAGAATTGTAATGACTGAATCAACAGTAATTTACTAATCTCTGCCAAACAAAAATAAACTCTCCACATAGGCATGAAAGGAACTTTCACAAAATATTAATGAATTCAGTGAAAAAACAGCAAAGAAAACTAGAAAATAATTTGTTTGGATATTTGCAATGGTCTTAACTGCTGATCAACATTTGCAAGTCTTTAACTGGTTCCAAATTGCCAATATCATAAGTGTGGAACATCTACTGTATACATATCTCAGAAATAAGCTGAGGACTTTTTTTCAGTATACCTATATACAGTGGTACCTCGGGATACAAATCTTTTTCGTTCCAGAAGGCTGTTTGAGTGCCGATACCAAATGAATTTGTTACCATAAGGAATAATGTAAAGCAGATTAATCCATTTCAGACCCCCAAAAATACACTTACAAAAGCACTTAAATAAATACACTTGCATAATTGTTCGAGTTTTGAGCTGTTCGTATCCCGAGGTACCACTGTATTTGAAGAATATGGATGACTTACAGTTACAAATATAAAGTAATATGAAGGAAAAAAAAAACAAACAGGTACATATATTTAGAAAATGCACTAAGCACCCTACTTTGGTTATCTGAAATTCTGAGTATCTGACCAGTGACTGGTCTTGAACAATTAAAATTAAGTTATTCTTGTGCAAGTGCTTTTAAATATGGTAGGCTTAGCATAAAGGTGAAAACTACATGTATTATATAATTATTGATACTTTTTAAATTTTATAAGTCTTGGTGCAACATACAGTGCTTTACATTTTTTTCTTAACAATGGTTGTCTCCTACCAAGATAGGTTGACCCAAAACAGAGGAAACACATTCACTATCATTCAAATGATATCTTGCCAGACATATGTTGGCATCACAATTCAGATGCTCCTCCAAACTGCAATATCCTAACCCCTCCTTCAGAGTGCAGGCACTGTACAGTAAGTCCTTGCTTAATTCATTGACAGGTTTTTGGAAACTGCAACTTTAAGCAAAACAATGCATAACAAAACCAAATTTACCATAGGCTAATTGATGTAAAAATCAGGGGTGCACAGCACACTAGCACTCATTGTAACAGGGTTAAATCAATAAATATTTGCAAAACAAAAATTGTAAGGAGTACCTTGTACCACCATGCAGTTCAGAAATAACCCTGGATAGGATGCCATTCCATTGCAGGGTGGGCGGGCAGGGTGCGCGCGCGCACACACACACACTCATACTGGGACAACGTAGACACAAGAATTAACCTAACATGCACATCTATGGGATGTGGGAGGAAACCGTAGTACTCAAAGCTAACCCACACACACATGGAAAGAATGCACAAACTCCACACAGCCTTGGCTGGGAATCTATTTTTTTTTTTGTCAATGTTATAACGAAATGACGTTTTAAGTGAGGACTTGGTGTACTTACCATTTCCAGGGCTCAATTTCAATTAACTGGCTTCCCTAAATCTCTCCATAAATGTTACCTTACTCACATTCCAATAGCATGTCATCATAAAAATAACTTGTCTTCACTTACTCTGCTCTAACACACACAGGAAGATTGGATGTTAAAGCCCCTTAGTACTCAAAACCAGTATGTACTTCCTTTCTCCAACCCTTCCTAGGACCCCTACCCTCCTTCCTTCCACCCCAGATTTATATACTCTCTTATTCTATTGTGTTCCATCATTTCTAAAAGTTCAAGCCTCAACAACCCCTCCTCAACCCTCTGAATATACTTTTGAAAAACCCACATTGTTTTCTAACCTCCACTCTATGAATTCTCTGCATAATATTCACACTGCACTCAAACATGATATTTCCACTGCCTTCATCCTCCTCCTTGCAGCAATGTTTAAATCCCAGTGCTTTATATATAGTACAGATATACTATTATCTCATACTCAAAATAAAAAATTGCTAAAATTTGGCAGAGCGAAACACTGATGAATTACTTGTGTCAGAGATTCTTAAAAAGATACTTTAGAAGTCATATCATAAGTAGTACATGCCATTATATCCACAGAATTATAAAACATGAACAATAAATCAATAACAATATTTTTTATAAGTAGCATTGTTGTTTCATTAAAAAAGTAATAGCTTACAATAAAAATCTGTGTACAGCAATGAACAGTAATCTGACATTTATTGCACTGGACAGTTACGCATGGCTGGCTGATACAGGAATCGGCGTCGACGTCTTAAAGCTTCTAGATATACATCCCGGTTAAATAACCCAGCTGCCAGGGGAACACTGTGAAATGAAATACATTTTAAAAGCAGATACAGACCTTGAAAACTGGCACCCTTGTAACCAAAGTCAAGCCAATAGTCAGGATTACCTAGGTTTAAGTGGTTAAATAATAACAGGTGCCTTACAGTCCTAGTTCCCTGAACAGCTTTTGAGGTATGTAGAACAAATTTTGCTTTGATCTTAATACAAAACTTAAGTAATAAAGATAAAATATAGATTCTTTCACTGATGAACAATGATATACAGTTAAATCCTCAAATTTGGGTACTTTCTAATACTCATGTTTTGATTATCCAGGGGCTTTTAGTGAAAGGTCTCCCATGATTAACTTGTTTATTTTTTGCAGTGCTATCATTTTTTTATTAACACAGCCTCTAAACTGAATCTCTCTCTCTTTCTGGGTATTCTCCTTATGAATTTTAGTATTAACTAAATTTGAGTGACATTTAAGATGATGTGTCCTCACAAATTCAGAATGAGCTCCAATCTGAAACAAAATTTATCATGCAGACATAATTTTGTATTATTCACAGAACTTCTAGGAACACAACTTCAGCTTCCATTGAATGTTATAAAAAAGTAATATAGTAAATGTTACAATATGATACAGATTTAATAAATAATAATTATTCTGCGGTGTGCAAACTAATATTCTCACATTCTCAAATTGATTTTCCCATTTGATGGTAAAATACAGTACAGTAGGGCCTCCGCTTTATGGTGTTTCACCTTACAGCGTTCTGCTAATACAGTGATTTCAAATTATGACCAAAACTCTATAGAGCTCACCGTCTTTCTAATACAGCACGCCCCACCCAGTTTCTTTACATTCTCCATGAGGATATCTTTATTTTGTCTGCAGACTTTCCAAAATTTCAAGTGTTTTAAAGTTATTGCATATTTTATATGTACTCTGATAATTTCACTTATGTGTACCTGTACTTAAATATACTTACACACTTTGCTGGCATGCAGGTACACATTATAATCACTAAAATTGTCCCTCTAGTCTTAACACCATAATAATAACACTAATAGTAATCACTCTTGGGCACATTAAATGTCTTATTTTACGTTAATATAGACATTTTCATTAATCCATCTATGATATTTTCTTCATAATTATATAAGAAACATGTTACATAGCATATAAACATGCTATATTTATATGATGTGGAGGTGTGGTAGTCAGGTGGAGGGAAAACATTACGTTTTCTCTGGTCCAGCACCAGAGAAAACGTGTATGAATCTGCGTTTGGCACATAACACTTTTGTTTAAAATTCTCAGCATGAATTATTCATTACTTCTCCCTTCGTTTATGAAGGCATCTAAAGGTAGTTGTTAGAAATGATTAAACTCAGTGAACAATTTATGTTGATGGTAATAATATGGCTCTGGGCCGCATTAAATATTGTGTAGCTATGTAGGAAGGTAGGTGCAGCTATATAGCCAGGTGGACTACACAGCTACATCTACCGGCTACCTACACCTGACTTCCTACAAATACACACTACTCACCTCTCATCCTACTTTAAGACTACACATAATTTAAGGTAAAGAATGAGTGTACTGTATGTGTATTTTCGCTCTCTGGGCTGCTTTAAATATCGTATATTAAGTTGGGATGGGGAGCCAGGGCTACCTACACCTGACTGCCTACAAATAATTACTATTACTCACTTCCTACCCTACATTAAGGCTACAAATATTTTAAAGTAAGTAATGAATGTATTGTGTATGTATTTTACTTTTTATTGTGTTTTTTAATGCCTAGTTCTATTACTAACAATGTAAGTAGTGTAAACTGGTTGTCTGGCATTTATATGCATTTATAAGTGGAAAAAATGGCATTCTGCTTTCCGGCAGTAGCCTGGAACCTAACCTGCCATATAAGTGGGGCCCTACTGTAGTATGTTTTACTATTCATTTCATACATATACAGTACTCCTACTGAGGTAGGAATTAAGTCCAGTTAGTCTGTTTCCAGAATCCCTACATGTTACCTTGTTCACACTCCAATGGCACATTCAGCCATAAAAACCACTTGTCCCTACTCCAATCTAACATGCTCACACAAGCCTGCTTGATGCTCAATCCTCCTCTAGCACTCAAAATCTCCTTTACTCTCTCCCTTCATCAATTCCAGAGATAACCCTACTCCTTCCTTTCACCTCCATATATATATATACACTCTCTTCATCATCATATTCTGCTCCAGTTTCTCTAAATGCCCAGACTACCTCAACAAATCCTTATCAGTCATCTGAATTATACCTTCAGTAGCCCCACACCATCTATACTCCAAATTCTTAATTTCTATTTATTACTGTATTTTTATCACTGTGTACTATATTAAAAAAATAAGTGCTGAACTCATATGGGTTAAACAGCATTATTCATATGTATAAGACAATGATCTCCACTAAAAATGTAATTTATAACATGACCTGTAGACTACCTATGGTTATAAGCATTATAAACAAACACTTAAATACATACTCATCTTTGCCTGGTCTAATTTTGCAATGAAAGGCTCCTAGGACAGGCTTATGGTCTGATGTTTTGAACAATGGGCAGGAATCATAGCTATAGCATGTAATAGCTCCTCGATTACTCTGTCAAAATAATAAATACAAGTCATGTAGCAAACTAGTGAAACCTGGACAGTAGTGCACATTCTAAATGCTCACATTTTCAATGTACATGTATACTTAAAAATACACTTCAGAACATATATTTCTGCTGATGCTTAATTTCTTCTAATCTTCAATTAAACAAGTACCATGTGTTCTCTTGCTTTCTCATGTTGTGCAGCTATTAAAAAATTATATGGTTGCATCATCAGACTAAATCACTTTCCACAACAATAACTGCAGCTGTTGCATAATAGTAATAATAACAACACATGCAAGGTTTCAGGTATGTCTTACTACTTCTACTACTACTTACACTTCGGTCATATTACACATGCATGTTCAAGCATATATATATACACACACCCCTCTTGATTTTCTTCTATTTTCTTACTATTTCTTGTTTTTGTTTATTTCCTCTTATCTCCATGGAGAAGTGGAACAGAATTCCTCCTCCGTAAGCCATGTGTGTCATAAGAAGTAACTAAAATACTATGAGCTAGTAACCCCTTTTCCTGTATACATTACTAAATTTAAAAAGGAACTTGCATTTTTCTGTTTAGGTCACCCTGCCTCAGTGGGATATGGCCAGTTTGTTAAAAAAAAAAATACTACTAATAATGGGAGCAAGGGGCTAGTAACCTCTTCTCCCGTATAAATTGCTAAATGTAAAAAGAAAAGCTTTATGAGGTTTTCTTCTTTTTTTCATGTCACAGTGGGAGACAACCAGTATGCTGGAAAAAATAATAATAATAATCATGAAGTCAAGCAAAAAAAAAAAAAAACTTGTACAGTTAGTCTTAAGAAGCCAGTAGAAAGAAGCAGTGACTTCCTTGTTTAAGTATAAAAAAAAGCTTTTACTGACTTCATTAACTTATGAAAGGCTCCACACTGGTGCCCAATTCACATTTCACACAACTCACAATGTCAACTACTGTGCCAGGTAATATTTGTTCTTGGTGTCAGTCTTCTTTCAACAAACCAGCTGTATCCCGCCAAGGAAGGGGGGTGACCCAGAAAGAAAAACAGAAGTTTCTTTTCATAACTTTAACGTATACAGGAGAAGAGGTTACAAGCCCCTTGCTCCCAGCATTTTAGTCGCCTCTTACAACATGCATGGCTTACGGAGGAGGAATTCTGTTCCATTCTCCCATGGAGATCTTGGCGTCAATTTTTTTTTTTTTTTTTTTCAACAAGTCGGCCGTCTCCCACCGAGGCAGGGTGACCCAAAAAAGAAAAAATCCCCAAAAAGAAAATACTTTCATCATCATTCAACACTTTCACCACACTCACACATTATCACTGTTTTTGCAGAGGTGCTCAGAATACAACAGTCTAGAAGTATACACATATAAAGATACACAACATATCCCTCCAAAATGCCAATATCCCAAACCCCTCCTTTAAAGTGCAGGCATTGTACTTCCCATTTCCAGGACTCAAGTCCGACTATACAAACTGAGGTATCACTCGAGTATGAATGTAACAGAGTGAGGAATTAGGTAAGATTAAACTGCTCTCTCACTGATCATGGACAAGCACACTACTACTAAACCACACAGGGATATAAGAAAAGCTATGCTATAACCAAGAAGTCTTATTGAATTCATCAAATTATGAAAGGGTCCAGAGTATCAGCCAAATTCAAGTTTTACACAGCTCTTAATGCCAAGTCAAGTGGTGGCAGCGTATAAGTGTTTCTTTCAAACTCTGATCACACTAATACAAGACATATATCTAATACCATCTGAGTACAGTACCAGTTACTATATATGTTGTTTGAAAATTCATTAAAATTTTAAATTAATGCTTTCAGCTACATATTTGTCAGGGCCCAAGACCGTTCAACTGCCTCCCAGCATACATAAGGGGGATTACCAATAGACCCCTGGCTGTCTTCAAGCAGGCACTGCTCAAGCACCTAAAGTCGGTACCTGACCAGCCGGGCTGTGGCTCGTACGTTGGATTGCGTGCAGCCAGCAGTAACAGCCTGGTTGATCAGGCCCTGATCCACCATGAGGCCTGGTCACAGACCGGGCTGCAGGGGCATTGACCCCTGGAACTCTCTCCAGGTAAACTCCAGGTGAACAGTGAGGCTAATTTCCTTACCTTAAACAGTATCCTGTCAGTATATGATGGAACACGCTGCTTGGAAGATGTGTCATAATGGTCAGTACCAGGGTCATACTTGAATGTTGGAGCAAAGGTAATTGGGCCTTCCTCAAATTCACTGAAGGCTTCACCTAAATTTGAAATGGTATACTGTATATAAAATACAGCACAATATTCTTAATGCAGACATAAATACAGTGCATGTTCAATTTTCTGATGGTCAGTTAACTGCCCATCTTCTGGTTTGAATAAGTTTCCAAATGGATGAACTAATGGATTTCTGATAACATGAATAAAACTAACATATTTACAAAATAATTTAAGAGTTATTACCCAGTAGTTTAATAAATATGTAAAAACAAACAATTGCAAACTGCTAGAAAATAATTATTTACCTGCCAAAATAAAGGTTATGTGATACAGGTATTGTTCTGTATATTTTTTCACAGAGGCAATGACTTGTTTTTTCACCAACCCAGAAGTAAAAGCTGCAGATAGCATTTTATTCTGGTAGCCATAGAAAATAAATGAATGTTTATACATACACATTCACATATATGAGGTGTATAGTGGACACAGTAGCAGCAAAATTTGTGGGTCATCTTGTGTGTTTCAGAGACAGAAAGAAAAGATCATCAATAATGTTAGTGTGTGTATATAACATTTATATGTATAAAAGGTTTCTGTTTTGCACTCGTGTGACAGGACAGCTGCATCTTCCTGGGTGAACCTCCTTGGGTGGTTGGTTTACCAACCTATTATCATTAAATTCTATTATCCATTTATTACTCTGTTCAATTTATCCAAGTCATCTTGTAAGGATTCAATAATTTTTAGCACTTATTTTGTGTAGGATCTTTTCATGTTTATACAGCATTTATATATAGTGTGTTTTATTGCTTCTAGCCAGTCATGTATATAAATTAGAAACATTAACAGGGAATACCAATTCTTGTGGTACAGAACAACGTTGGTGATAGTTTCCCATGACATCTTTTCTATTGTCAAAGCTTGCATTTTTCAAAAACAGTTAAGCTCTCAGTCACTAATAATTTGCCTTCTATTTTTCTAGTGCTCTGTAGTTTCCAAATTAGTTTCTGATGAGGAAATTAAAGAAAAATATCTTGAAATCTAAATAAATGTAATCTATCCATCCATTTCTGATATACAATACAGAAATTTGTTGATCAAAGAGCGAATTGTTTGCTAGCTAGAATGTTATTGTTCAAGTATTACATTCTCTTTTCCTTACAGCTTTTCCAGTACTTTCAGATCAATATTTATCAGTAAAAAAAGCCTCGAGATAATTTTTTTGTTAAATATCAGTATAATGTATTTCATTTTCTATTCTCTATACCTGCATTCTAATGGGAAAATATGAAATGAACAATATAAAACTAGCCTTTATGTCGAGCCTGAGACAGCTGATCCCACTGCAGAAGATGTTGATAAGTCTCAGGTCCAGCCTTCTTTAAGCGTTCGAAAACATGATCACGATTCACAGCAAGACGAAAGTTCAGATCACCCAGCCAGAAGACACTATCATAGCGATGAGTGACATCTACAAGGAACAATTAAAATCTGTTTAATATCAATAAATTAGTGGAGACGAATGGCTTTTGGGACCTGACAAGCTGTTGGAGTGTGAGCAGGGTAATATTTTGTGAAGGGATTCAGCGAAACCGGTTAGCCGGACTTGAGTCCTGAAAATGGGAACTACAATGCCTGCACTTTAAAGGAGGGGTTTGGGATATTGGCAGTTTGGAGGTTGACTTTTAAACTGTCATATCTGAGTGCCTCTGCAATGTCAGTGATTATGTGTGAGTGAGGTGAAAGTGTTGAATGATGATAAAAGTATTTTCTTTTTGGGGATTTTCTTTCTTTTTGGGTCACCCTGCCTCAGTGGGAGACGACTGACGTGCTGAAAAAAAAAAATTGCAATTTCTTTCTTTCTTGCCAGAAAGAAACTCTTCTGCAATTTCTTCAGCAGTCCAGACCAGATAACCAAAATTGCCCTTATTTTCTTCTAATCATGTCATTACATTTTCCTCAGAAACGTCTGTTCTTTCCAAAACCTTCCGAAGCATTCAATGAAAATCATTGGCCTCAAATCCCACAAAGCTCAAATCAGGATCAACATCATACAAAAAAAAATTTCCAACTGTTAACTAACCTTGCGATTTTCATTTCCTTCCAGGATGCTGTAAGGTTGAAGATGGCAAATTTCAGGCTATATTTCTCAATGTTCTGCAATGCTCATAGGCCTCTAGTGTGTAACATTTTCCGAATCCTCTTCTTTTTCAATCACTAACGATACTTCATCTATCTGTCTGTTCTGGTATATCCTCCTGCCAACAATAACCCTCTTCTCCATAGGATAAATCATGGAAGTGGTATTACAAGCCAGAAATATGGCCTTAAATTTACCATCGGTGCTGCATGATTTATTAGTGTTACAGTGAGCAGGTGATTTATAAAGCAACTGAAGAACGGAAGAGCCCTTACATCTTCTGGATCAAGTTTAATGATCTCTAGCTGATACAAGTGTACAACAGAGATGAAATGTTTAAAAAAATGTCATAAAAAATATATACCTATGAAACCAAGCCTTCTTACCTTGTATAGATGACTGGCAACTCCTGTATGTAATACTTTAAAGTATATGGGTGAACTGATTTGCCTGTGCCCATCAATTTCAAACAGTTCATACTGTCAGCATTACCACAACATGATGCTGAGAAGTGATCTCTGCTTATTTTATGGCTTGGTGTCTTCACATCATTCTGGAAGTCAAAAATATTGCGAGCGATCGAACGCCAAGAGAGACCAGTTTCATTACCTTATACACTTTACTTAAAAGCAGCCCCTCCTTCTTGATTAGATCATGTAACATAAATCTGAACATGAATACTGAACACACCATTCATATACTGCTTCAAGATTTTTATTTTGGGCTACTCTCATATGCTTCCTAGTACCAACTGATGAACCTTTTCTGGTAGCATCTGCACCGTACAGTAATTTAAGAGTAAAAGTGATAAGCTTGTCCACTGTCTAACATATATCAGACATTTTTTTTCACCATATTCTTTGCATGAACAGGTCACTGACACACCAGACTAACTTCTTCATCAGTTCAAGTTTCTGACTCTTTTCGACTAACAGTTAGATTTATACATTTCGATTTTATATCAGCATCTGTTTTATAGTCCATGTTTAATCACTATGTACCTTATATTACCAACACTCTTATATGGGTGTGAAGCTTGGGTTGTAAAAGCTGCAGTGAGGAGGCGGTTGAAGGCAGTGGAGATGTCCTGTCTAAGGGCAATGTGTGGTGTAAATATTATGCAGAGAATTCAGAGTGTGGAAATTAGGAGGTGTGGAGTTAATAAAAGTATTAGTCAGAGGGCTGAAGAGGGGTTGTTGAGGTGGTTTGGTCATTTAGAGAGAATGGATCAAAGTAGAATGACATGGAGAACGTATAAATCTGTAGAAGAAGGAAGGCGGGGTAGGGGTCGTCCTCGAAAAGGTTGGAGGGAGGGGGCAAATGAGGTTTTGTGGGTGAGGGGCTTGGACTTCCAGCAAGCATGTGTGAGCGTGTTAGATAGGAGTGAATGGAGGCGAATGGTTTTTGGGGCCTGACGAGCTGTAGGAGTGTGAGTAGGGTAATATTTAGTGAGGGATTCAGAAAACCAGTTATTTTTATATAGCCTGAGTACTGGAAATGGGAAGTACAGTACAATGCCTGCACTTTAAAGGAGGGGTTTGGGATATTGGCAGTTTGGAGGGATATGTTATATATCTTTATATATCCTTCTAAACTGTTGTATCTGGGCACCTCTACAAAAACAATTATTATGTATGAGTGAGGTGAAAGTGTTGAATGATGATGAAAGTATTTTCATTTTGGGGATTTTCTTTCTTTTTGCGTCACCCTGCCTCGGTGGGAGACGGCCGACTTGTTGGAAAAAAAAAAGTACCTTATATTATAATAAGTAAAGATAAACACCATAAATTCATGGAAAATGGAGAGCAAATAATGACTCAAGTGTTAAGCCTAGAAAAGACTACTGTACCTGAAACACTAAGTTAAAAACTTAAAATACAATATTCCAAACTACTGCATGAAATCTACTTTGTGTAGTGCTTGATGAACCACTAGGAACATATCTTAGCAATACCTCCAAAATACATCCAAGAGATAATACTGAGAAGTGTTATTTCTAGTGGTTTGACAGAACCCATACACAGAAAACATTAAAAAAATTACATATATAATGAAATGTCTTATTTCAATGTAATAAAGTGAAAAACTATATACAGTACATAAATTGAAACATAATTATCACTAACCTTTATGCTTGTGTTTGTGAGGCAAGAGGCGTGGCAAGTCAAGGGAACGAGTTATATTACGGAAATTTTGGATTCGCAGGGCTTGCTTCTCTTCATGAGCTGTTAAATGTGAGTTTATGAAGAGGATTCTTGTACCTGAATTAAAAAAGAGTAATGAGACATAAACCTATCCTCCTCACACTAAAGGATAAAAATTAATACAGTGCAACACTATTATATCAGACTCATTTTCTGTTCATGTACTACTGTCTACATCAGACTCTCCAACATTTCGCACACCACAACACTACATCATACCTATTAACTGTCTGCAATTTTCATTTATTGTGATTTATGCACTTGCAGATGATAAAGTATTCAATGAAGCATTGAGAGGGGGACTGTCAGCCACATCACTAAATAGCTGTCCTGTCAATTTTATCAAATTATCTCTATATATATACTGATTCAGGAAAACTGGTTAACAGACTTGAGTCCTGGAGGTAGGAGTACATTGCCTACACTCTAAAGG